CCTTTGTTGCAGGACTGCTAGTATTGATTGGGTAAATATTTAGTCACCATTATGTTGCGGGAATCAACACTGGAGAGCAAATATTTACAAGCTCCTGGAAAATTTATCCCACAAACAATATGGGCAGACTCAATGTGAGTCCAGATAAAAAATGAGGGACAAAACAATAAATATAAAACAAATGACAATGCATATATTTACAAAAGGATTTACATGTGACGAAAGGAAAAAAAAACATAAAACTATCTTTAATAAGAATGTGCTTGTGTTTGCGTGTGTGTGTATGTGTGTGTGTGTAACAAGCATGTATGAGAAATTACAAAAATCAAGAGAGAAAATCATGAAAATGGAAGTGCCCCAGTGGGACATGCCTTACCCACATATGACTACATCTTATGACCAGAATTGCAAAGCTGTAAAAGAGAGACTAAGGAAAAAATTGTACACCTTTTTATAGGCTTAAGGAGCGACCTCTAGTGATGTTTTTTTGACAGAGTCAAGTGGGATAACCCACACCTTCTTGTTGATCATGGACTCAAAGTGTTTGCTGTTGACACTACAGAGGATGACATGTCAATATTGCTACAGAGATAAGCACTCACCTATATTCTTCAGGGAATACAGTTGATTCCTTTTACAGACTTGGGAAGAATTTCTCTTTCAGGCAGTGGTTAAACAATTTTTCAAAGATAACTCTGGGCTAATGTTCCAAAGAACAACCACCAGGATACTATCTGGACTGGTAACCTTTTTAGAATTAAGGTTTTAATCAGTCTGGAAGCTACCCTTACTGTGAGAGAGATATATTACAAAGTTTGTGCTCCATGAGAAGAGAGAAGTAGAGGATGACCCTTGTCATCTTAAGTGGAGGTAGTGTTGCAGTATCATGGAACTATTTTCCTACACGTAAACATTGTAACACAATGGCGTAGGAATACTATAAAAACACTTGGACTCACATGCTCAACAGTATTGGGCCTAACACATAAGCTCACTGTCTTGTTATTGTATATACCTTATGGTTAATAAAGGCTTATTAAGTTATCAGTGCCTCACTTGTAATTAGTACGATAATATAACATATCCAACTTTACAGGTAGAGACAAGGTTCATTGCAAACAGCCTTGCCTTACCTGACAAGGATGAAATAACTTCAGGGGTATTTATGATAGTAGACATTAACTTCAGGGGTATTTCTGATATTAGACATTGATGTTTTGACATTGTTAAGAATTTTGTTTGAGATTTCTCAGAACTCATGGGAACCAAGTCTTTTGTTTTCAACCTTGGCTTGGATCGACTGTGCATAACTACTCTTTGCATTTTCTAGAACTCTCTCACAATGATTGCAGGCAGTTCTGAAAGCAGCATGGTTCCTAATATACTATTTCTTGTAATAGAGATGGTAGCAGTGATTATGGTGATCTATGGTTGCAGCGTATTTAAGTATGAATCAAAGCCGGCTATTCATTTTTTTGTTGATATGTAACATTATTGTTTATTTCACTCTGGACTTTCTCAATCACTATTGGCCAGTGCATGTCTGGATTTGGTGTCTTCTCTCAAAGATGTATCAAACCGTCACTTCTTCCTTTCAAGTGGGTATATATACTGAGGCTGATCAATTTCTCTCTTTCCTTAATAATTTTCATCTACTTCTCTGAGGTTTACCGTTGAGAAAGAGGTTAACTCTAAATTTGCTTTCTTGTGTAGTGGACCATGGTGGTGATGATGTAAAGAACACACATGGGTTAAAATTTCCTGCTAGCCTGCCCAGCTACATGAGAATGTTGGACTTTAATTAAGTCCAAAGAAGACAAAGAAAACAAACAAGACCGATAATTATATACAAACAAATATATGCATTAACAATGTATTCTCTGGCTTTGGTGCCTTCTCTCAAAGATGTATCAAACTGTCACTTCTTCCTTTTATATATACTGAGGCTGATCAATTTCTCTCCTCGCTTAATAATTTTCATCCTTCTCTGAGGTTTACCATTGAGAAAGAGGTTAACTCTAAACTTGCTTTCTTGTGTAGTGGACTGTGGCAGTAAAAATGTAAAGAACACACATGGGTTAAAATTTCCTGCTAGCCTGCCCAGCTACATGAGAATGTTGGACTTTAATTAAGTCCAAAAAAGACAAAGAAAACAAACAAAACCGATAATTATATACAAACAAATATATGTATTAACAACAAGTACAAATTACAAGCACATGGCCAGTTACATTGAGTGCATGTGGTGAATATTATGTGTGTATTGTAGTGAGTGTTCGTACGTACGTGTATTGTTCTTAGTGTGTTCCCAGAATTTGGGAAACACTGTATTGGTGAGAGTTCACATATGCGAGGTGGTATAAGGCCCAAGGCCTGAGGAAAAAAGAGACCGAGGCAAAGGGTCACCCAGTATTTATAGCCAGGGGAGAGAGACCCCTGGTGAAGGGTTAAGGAACTAAAGGAGGAGCTAACTCCGACACTTGGATGTATCAGTGCATCGTACACCTATGTCATTTTGTACCTCAGTTTATAGAAAGTCTACTTTTTTGGATTTATACACGCATTGGGATTCTTTTTTCTCCTAAGAAGCACAAAATAAACCTTATAAAAACTTTAACACATAGGGCATTGATGATCTGTTCTGAAGAGTTTCTTGATAGTGAGATTAGTTTTATAACAAGGAATTTATGCGATAATGGGTATCCACCCACTGTTGTCAATTCTGTTATTTGTGACAAGATCGCTGACTTCAGAAAAATTAAGCCTGTTATTGTGGCAAAATGTCCTGTGTATTTAAGACTTCCATGGATTGGAGTAAATGGTGAAAACCTAACTAGGAAATTTCTTTAAATGTGCAGAATTGTTATTTTTCTGTTGAGATGCGTATTGTATTTGGGACTAGATCGATTCTATATTCTAGTTGTAAGGACGTTCTCCCCCCTCATCAAATAAATTCTGTAGTTTATAAGTATGATTGTAGCTGCAGGGTCAGTTACATAGGGGGGGAACCACTCAGCAGCTTGATACTATAATTAAACAGCATGTTCCATTGAAAATCAGGCACCATACATGGCAACAAAATGAACTCATCCGCAATACTTATTGTTCCTCAATTTGCACATACCTGATAAATTACAGAAAATGTACTATAAAATTTAGTGTAGATTGGTTCTCCATTTTTAGTGAAACCAGTTGTTTTTTGCTTCTTTTATTGTTTTTATCCTGCATTATGCCTTGTAATGTTAAAGTTAATACTTTTAAAGCAATACTCAAGTTCTGTACCACTAAAATTCTGTCTAAATATATAAATATATATTTAGTTATATTGTTTTCCCCAAGTATGTATATCCTAGATGCAGCTGGGTCAATCACATGTTTACATTGAGTATAGTGCAGATCTGCACTTGGCTAGGAGGTCAATTCTCAGTCACCAGATCATCAAAAATGCTAGATGAACCTGGTATGGCACTGAGTACAAAATCAGGGGTTAGTCATATATTACACATATTTGTTGACCTGAAGCAACTGAGCTTTGTAGTGGGTGAATTTTAGTATATAGAATTTAGTAAGAATTTTAGTATATACAATTTAGTATGAATTTAAGTATAGAATTTTAGTATATAGAATTTTAGTATGAATTTTAGTATATAGAATTTGGTAAGAATTTTAGTACAGTGTAACCCGGATATAAGAGACCTGGATATAAGAGAAACCCAGATATAAGTGAGATTTTCTCTGGTCCCAAATTAGAGCCTGTGTTAATGTAAACAAAATAGACCAAACCCGGATATAAGAGAAACCCGGATATAAGAGACTTTTTCTCCGGTCCCGGCAACTCTCTTATATCCAGGTTACACTGTATATAGAATTTAGTATGAATTTTAGTATATAGAATTTAGTATGAATTTTAGTATATAGAATTTTAGTATGGATTTTAGTATATAGAAAAATACATGAAAATTTGATATGTAATCTGCCAATCAATAAATGTTTAAAGTGTTTAACTGCAGATGGTGCTAAATTTATGTGAGAATATACTAACAGAGCTCCTTCAAAGAAAATCCTCACAGAAGTTTTCACTCTGACTTGTAACACACACAAAATTTTAAATTGAAGTAGAACACTAAAATATAAACTACCCTTTTAGTAACCCTCTACCTCGAGTGACCCCCGGGCCTTGTACAGGGTGAATCTTACTGTAAAAAACAACAACAAAAAAAATCTTGTTTCACGTTTAAGGAGGCTGATCTTTTAAAACGGTCACTTAAGATTAGTTTTTAGTGTTGCCAATAAATCCGACAAAATATGGGATTGTCCTGTATTTTGATTTTTGAGGTTGAAGGACTTATTCTGCATTAACTGATGCAGGACACATTTTTGTCCAGCATTTTGTTGAGAAACTGACGATTCTTTTTTTTACAAGTTTTTATGCATATAATTTTTGGTTTGTCTTTCTTTTTTTTTTAAAAGATATACTTAAACACAAACGGCTGGATTACACGTGGAATCTTTCCTGTTCCCTCCCCCATCTCCTTTTCCCCCACTTTCATCTTTATTATTCTTGCCACTCAAAAATATCAAACTAATTCATCCTTCTTTGGAACCCATTCACAGGGTTTATGGCCTTCTGTCTAACGCTAACCCTTCGTCCCACATTTTTAATTTTATTTTAGAGAGTTTGCTACCCTAATTTGGTAATGAGTAGTAAGCTTAATTTAATTTATACATCATAATCATTCATGTGCAAAATTTACATCACTTAGTTAAGCAATTAGTTAAATTTAGTTTAAGGATAGAGGACAAGTACTTAACTTAACTAAAAAATAATACAAATTCCAAGTTCCCGTCTAAGGGATGGAACTCTTCTTCATAAGAGTTAGAAAACAATTATTTTGAGTGCTGAAATTAACATGGCTGGTGATGTCGGGAATTTGGATAACCAAATTTTTAGAATTTTGGAAAATGAGATTTCTGCCGAACAATGGATGAGGTGGAAACAGATGAAAAAACAGGTATCACGTATTAAACTGTATTCTGGATTCGAGCCAACTCTTCCGCCTCGAAACTGTTGCATATTTTCACTTTGCTTGCAGTTGTAGTTTCTGTAGTAATCTAATTTCGTTTCAATTTCATTAATTTCAGTGTCTTCCCTTATTTACCTTTTAAAGTGTTTAATAAGAAATTTATAATAAAGAACTGTTTATTCTTTAAATTCTAATAAAAGATGATGATGATAACCACATTGAATTTAACTCTAGTTAGTAGAATGAATAATTCTGTTTAGTTTCTGTTTACCGGTAACGATTTCATACGATCGTGTGTATCAATTTGTTATTGTCTGTAGCTACGTTTTTTTTCCCTTTTTTTTTGTGTGTGTGTTTGTAATTACACACACACACACACACACACACACACAAAAAAAAAACAGAGTTACATTTCTTGTCTTTAAATAACTTGAGCAAAATCCCATCAATGTTTTAGAAACAAATAAAAAACCGTATAAGTAAAGGAAGTTAAAATACTACGTTTTTAAGGGCAAGAAAAAAGTTAAATTGTTTTGAAAATTAAAACTACCTGCTTAATTTTATCCCCTCTTTTCTCTATTTCAGTAATGATGAATATTTATTATTGGTATCTTAGATTTTAGCACCCTAAACATTTTTTGGTTTGGTAGACCAAATAATACTGAATTTCTTCAGTTTAATTTACCTAACTAGATTATTAGAATAACTTAAATGTAAATAAAATAAATACATATTTTTAAAATTTCATAGAGTAAACGTTTCAGTCTAAACTTTGAGACACTTTTCCTTTTACTTCTTAACGTTTTTTTACACTGATCGATGATAGATAAATGCTCAACATTGTAAAAAAAAAAAAAATGTAAACAAAACATTTTCCTCAAATGGCTAGCTTATAGGAAATTAACTTTTTTCTTGTTTCAATTTTCTAGTCATTAGTTGCTAACCTTCTAAAAAAATAATCGTATTAAAAAAATTGACAGCATTAATAATTAGCAATAAGTGAAAAAAATTATTTGAATACGAACAAGAAATATTTTTATTTTAACCTTAAAAAATACAGGGAGATAATTGCTAGGTTTTGTCATGAGATGGTGTTTGTGCGTGTATTTGGGTAGCAATCCCTCTTTTATACAAGTTTCATTAAAAGTAACTGACAGGATACTGTGATTAAGCTTTTTATTCAATTTTTCTTGCATTCTTACAAATACATTCTTTTCTGGACATAGTGTGTTAGTAACAGGTTAAGGACCTGCCTTAACTACAAGAAATGCATATTTATCATACCTTTTTTATAAAAATAAAAAAGTTCACTAAAGCTATATAAATAAAAAAAAAAATCAAATTTATGTTTATTTATATAAAATGGGTATATATAGAAAGTTTATGTAGCTAGAATCCTCATTAGTAATTAGAAAATAATTTTCTTTCACTTTATAGTACCTATACAAGCTTAACATTTAGCTTAAGGATAACTAAAATTGGAACTGATTGCTGGCTACAATTTTACGAAATTAATACTGTCAGGTGTAAGATGTTCAAGATAGACTCATTCTTGCTCTGAAATGTAACAAGATGCTCAAATATTTTTAGTTTATTTCTTTCTGAATTATTCATATCATGTATGTTTGGTCTAAATATCTCCATCTTTGTTGATATTATCATTTCATTTGTTGTGCTCTCTGGCATTCTCCAGGAGCTAGGTAACTAAAGATTATTTACACTGTTTACATTCAGACTAATGTCCTCATTTAACATAATAATAATAACAACAAAATGAGGCCATTGGTTCAAATGTAAATAGTAGAAAATAATTTTTGGTTCAGTTCAGAATTAAGTTTTTTTTTTTTTTTTTTCGAATATGTTAACTCTGAAAAGAGCCACTCAAGGTAGAGGGTTACTATTGAATGAGGTATGTAATATGAATGTAAAGTAGGAAATGAAGATTATGAGGATAAGGATGAAAAATGATAATTGACCCTTGAAGAAGTCAAGATTAAAGTGTTCAAGAGAGGACCTATGTGGGCATCTGTTCCAGTTCTTGGAGGGAAAAAAGTAAAATAAAGATTGAAATAAGATTGTAGCATTTGGGGGAAATCGCAATAGACTTGTGATATATTTTGGGGGAAAGTGGTTTCTTCAGGGTAAGCCATGTTGATTCTGGGTATCAGTTGTAGGTTACAATCGGTAACTGACTCTCACAAGAATTGTCACTCTTTGAGAACTGCATGGGAACTATCAAGAATCCTCTAACAACTCCATTGTATCTCTGTAGATTTCTTTATATATTGTCTTACAAGCACACTCGTATGATTTTTACAGGAACAGCCATTATTAATACTCAACAGCTATAATCAAAGATTAAAAAATTTGCTGGTCTGAATTTATATATATAGGCATAAGAAGTGTAGCAACTAAACATATTATTCCTGTTATTTTTACTCTGGCAAATGTCTGACCATTGAATTAAAGTTGAAGCCATAAAGGAACAGAACAGAATTTGAATGTGAAATATTTACTTAACTTTATTATTTCAGGCTGGGGACCTGTTGGTCAGCTCGGATGAAGAAGAAGAAGAAATGTCTACTTGCTTGCCTTCAACAAGTGGAACCTCAAAGCCATCTGAAATGACTGCACCACCAAAAGCCCCTGAAGAACCTGCCTCAGCTACAAAAACACCAGAAGGTTCTATTGAAACAATGGGAGTGAAGCTTTCTGGTTTCAATACTGACTTAACTCTAAAATTTCTGAATGGTAAGTTCAGTGGATGAATTAACAAGAAAAATATGATAGGCAAAAAAAAAAATAAATAAATAAAAAGAACGTATAAACATAAAAAATGTCTTAAAATAATTGTTGGACTTTGTCCATTTCATAATGTGTGATGTCATTTGTTTACATTTGGATACGCATTGAGCAGATATGAATTTACAAGAGAAATTCATGGAGCATTGTAGTTTAAAAACAGTAAAATCAACCTTGCTAACCAAAACGCTCCTCTGTGGCTCAATCGGTAAAAGCACGTCAGGCTATATGACAGTTCCGTATAGGATACAGGTTCGATTCCTGTTGGAGGACGCATATTTTCTATGAAAATTTCTCAGACATTCGGGCCAGTAAAGGTCGTTAATACTGTTTATTATAAACAGAGCATTTACTTAAATATTTCTATCTATAAAAAGAACATATAAACATTATATATATATATATATATATATATATATATATATATAGCAATATATAATTTTATATATCAACCAACAGTATTTAGGACAAATTTATTTAGTATGACAAATTGGGAAAAAGTGTTTGTGATGTGTTTCATCTGTTATGATTTCATTGCACTGTGCTTTGTTGATGTTGCCACATCTACACATGCACATGAAATGATATATATAATTATACGTTTTACCAGTTTGTGACTGGAAGGGATAATTCAAAGGAGGATATAAATCCTGGGAGAGCTCAATGCAGACTACAGAGCATTATAATAATAATAAGAAGATGGAGACTTTAATTTTCCATTTCCTTTATAATTTTTATTTTGTGAATACCAAGATGTTCAATTCATCAGAACGAAACCTCCTCCACAAATGGAGAAAGTACACTGGACAGACACATTAGATTAAGTGTGGGGAGGGAAGGTGATAGAGAAGGGATGGGTAAAGATAGGGCTATGAGATTAGTGGTTAGTAGTAGTCAGTTTCCTCAGCCAAGAATTTACTCTATACTTTTGAGATCTTAATATTGTGTTGTATGTTACATTGGCCGATACTGTTTGCTGTTTTTAGGCAGGATAAATCAGGTTGATTCAAATTAATTAAAGGGATCTTAATCTAAATAGAGGTCAGTATTAATATAGTAATACTTAAACATTTGTTTTTGGGGCCAAAGTAGACATTGAGTTGAGGGGAACACAAGAGGGAGATATAGAGGGAGTGAAAGGTGGAGTGGATGGGGGTTTTGGGAAAGAAGAGAGAAGGAAAAGGTGGGGTTGTGGTAGCTTTAGCAGCCTGACCTACCTAGATATTTCTTAATTTTTGGAACTATGTAAATAGGTTTATACAGTGGGTTGATTGGCGGTAGGTGTTATGAAGTAGTCCCTAGTACAAAAATAATTAGAAATCACAATAATATTGTCAGATACAGTAGGTGACTAGCTACCACTACCTCTCACCTTCTCTCCCTGCTACCAATCTAATGTGTACTTTCTCTATTTGCAGAGGAGGCTTCATTCTGAGGAGTTGAATATCTCGGTGTTCTCAAAATAAAAATTATAAACGAAATGGATAATTAAAGTCCCCATCTTCTTATTATCAGATATATATATATATATATATATATATATATATATATACGTGTGAAAAGTCTATATAAATAAATATATATGTATAATTATTTATATATTATATCTTAGTACTTATTAGAAAGCTCAATATCAGAGATAGACTAACATATTTGGTTGGATAGATGAGTTTGTGACCCTGGGTTTCACGCTTTGTTTATCGTCAGACAAACTGAAAAACATTAATCAGTTTGTCTGATGATGCAAAGCTTGAAACCCAGGGGTCACAAACTCACATCTATCCAACTAAATATATATATATATATATATATATATATATATATATATATATATATATATATATATATATATATATATATATAATGTACAAAAGAGAAAAACAGAGAGAAAATCCATTGTTCATAGCACTTACTTTTAAAAAAAAGTGCTCAGTACAAAAGTACAACAATATATTATTATATTTTTATTATAGAATATATATATATATTTATTTATACTTTCAAAAAAAAATGTGATAAGCCCCCAACCAGGACACTTGGAAAGGTGTATAGCATCCCTAATAGGGGACATGATGCAAGCTTTTGAGCTTTTACAAAAGAACTTCGTCATACTTGCAAATACAAACATGATCCATACATACAAGTTATAAATCTAAGTAACAGTGAATTTTCGCTTGACACATTCAGATTATTAAATAAAGGACTAAGCTTTCATCCTAGTCCACCAAGGTTTGATAAGGACACCTGAAATTTCTTTTTTCTTCTTATGCTTACATGAAAAAATTACAAATCATCAAATTTGCTGACAAAAAAATCTCTGTTAAAGGAATGGAGTGAATTGACTGTAAATTGCCGACACAATTTATCTGGTACCTTAAAATATAGTTAAATTCTTAATAAAAAAATTATGTAATACCATTTCTTATAGCCATAATTTATTAGTATATAATGGTCCACCCTCTACAGGTAATTACCTTATTTTGTTTATTCAGCTTAAATATTGCTATCTATTGCTGCTCAGTTAGTATTATTAATATCTTATATAGATGTTCCACATTTTTAATTTTATTTACAGGCCCCTTTAAGAAGCTTTCTGAATATAAAAAAGTTTTTTTTTTAATTTTTTTCTGTTAATATCTGATTAACCTACCTTCAATGGCCTTTAAAAACTGAACATGTCATATTTATCTACAATTATGATATATTTGTTGCTGACATATTTTCCAAAATTGTCAGTGATGGCCTATGTTCTGGTTTATTGTGACATAAAATAACTCGCCCACCTCCACCCTCTGAGCTTGTTTTTCTATTTAGCATAGATCTAACATTTAATTGGTTAATCAAGACATACCCATAAGTCTATTTTTAATTCTGACCTTATGTTCCTGCCCCTTTAAATTTTGGAAAAGGTAATTTGTTTTTAAATTTCCTTAAAAAAATCATTTAATCTCCAGTTACTTACTATTGCCTGAAGAAGTTCAATCATAGTATTGAAACATGAAAGCTTTTGTGTAGTGATTTCAGCATGTTTTTATTATAATCTCTTATAATAAAAATTATATATATATATATATATATATATATATAATATGGTGATACTTCAGCATTTCCATTTTGGCCATATGGGTTTTTTTTTCTGCCTTGATGAGTTTAGTTATTGACTATGATTGTGTCAGAATTCACAAAACTTAGTTGTGATTGATTTCTGTTTACAGTAGAACCAATCCTAAACAGGAAACTAGGAATAAACATCTACCTCCATTCAAAAGACCGAGGAGTAGTATGAACCAGATGATGATTACTATAGACATTATTTTAGTTGAGACATGCTTTTGAGTAGCCATCTTTGTTGTTTTAAAAAAATGAAATTAAGATCTATCATTGAAAATCAATGTACATTTCAGCAAGGTTTGAACATTTTACCTGGAAAACCAACTTTTAGCTTAAACAAATATGTATGGCTTGTGAGCCCAAGAGAATAAATATCTGATGACATAGAAATGGTTTAATGAAAACAATAGCAAAAAATAATCTGTGATTTTGCTCTCTGTGGTTTCAGTTAGCTATGGTCAACAGTTTGTGTTTTACTTGACTCAATGTACAATATACTGGCAATTTTACAATGTCAGTTAGAAGCTGTCAACTGCTTTCTTTCAAGGAAAACTGAGAGTTTACCTAATTTATGAATTAAACTTTATCATAGATACCAATATAGGTAGGGACATTTATTACTATAAATATTATTTTAGTGGATACATGTGTTTGAGTAAGCCATCCCTGTTGCTTTAAATAAAAGGTGAATTAACATCTACTGACTCTGTTGGAAGTAACATGGTGTGTCAGTTGTAAAGGTTTGAATTTGAGAATGAAAGAGTAGAGCTTATCTGAATATTTGCCATGTAAGTAACAATAGAGTAGCAATGAGTATGCAACTGTAGACTGGAAAATAAGTCTTCCCATAGAAGGCTGTGTAAATAGTTTTGAACAGCATCGAGGCTGTGTAGTTTTGAACTTTATTATTGGCTGGGAAGTGAGGACTGAGCAGCTCCAGCTTTGTTATGGCAGGAGTACTCCCATTTTGTTTTAATTCAGAGGTGAACAGATTTTTTTTTTTTCAGAGAGTCATGTGTTCTTTTATGGCTTCATGATGAGCCAGGTATCAAAAATACAATGTACAAAAAAAAATGTACATACTAGAAACTCTCTTGTATGTTCATTATTAACAATTCATAGTAACTAGTAAAATCACATCTCTGTGTCATGCGGTAAACTGAATACATTGACCCAATTTATATTAGCTAGTGCAAAATGACCTTGTAACCTAGTTGTCTTTACAAAATTGGTAATTTTTCAGGAAGATTCAAAGAAATAAATACATTGTCAATTATTCCCATTTGACATTAATTACAATTGAATAATGGGCAAATATATTTTTCTTTGAAATGCCTTTGTAAACTGCACTCAAACTTGCTGTGGGCTGAATATGATCAGCATTTGCCTACCACTGGTCTAATCTGACTCTTGTAAGTATAAAGCATAAATATATAACTCCTGACATGATATGAGTTATGTATAACCAAAGAGTTAAATAAGTTTTGATCTGATTGTGTTCTATATTTGAGTAGATTTTTAATGAGATCTTTCTTTTCTTTTTTTTTTTTTTTTTTTTTTTTTTAAAAAGGGCAAATCTCATTCAATGAATTCAGTGCTGAGATGGACAATCTGCATCAGGTGGAAACGACCAGAGAAGCAGGCATGGAGACTGATGGCGAAGATCTGGAACCTGGGGCCACAGAACAAGAGGAAGAAGAGGAGGAAGAAGAAGCTGGTGAAAATGCAATGGAAGTTGACAGTAAGGATGAAGAGTGGAGTCCTGCCCCACGTAAGAACAGTTGAGCACAATCTGGAATTTAATTCTTGCAGAGAATAATCAATCAAAACTAACCAAAGTAAAGTCGTAGCATCAACTTTTTTGAAAAATAACACAAATGGTGACCCCCTATGAAAATAGGATTAGGATTGGGTTGAGTTTGGCTGGTAGATTTTGACATATCAATTCTTGTTGGGTTATTTACTGTTGAGCTTTTTAAGTAAACATTGTTTGGGCTTATTCTCTAGTCTATAGGTAAATGTTAGTCGGGTTTATGCTATGCTGTCTTTTTGCCTTATAGTGAATGAATTAATTTCTAATTTCCCTTTGTCTTAAATGTTCACTCTGCAGGCAAATTTATTTTACAATAAAATCTCTTGGAGAATGCATGTAATCTCTGCAAAACTCGTAGAGACAAGATAAGTTTACACTTAATTTATTACCATTAATGCTTTGTTTCTTGATATTGAGAGCACTCTAATTACATGGACTGTTTGCCTTAAAAGTGTTATCTTTCAAAAATACTGGTTGGGCATTTTTGTGAAACATAATCTCTGTTGTGTGTGTGTGTGTATATATATATGTGTATATTTGTATGTTTAGGCAGCAATTCTTCCTTTATGCATGTTTCATTAGAAACGACTGACAAGGTACTACGGTTAATCAATTGGAGTAGTATATTTCTTTATAATATGCCTTAGAGAAGATTCGTCTTGTTTGTAATTAATATGCATTTGTTTTTTGTAATAAATGTGTATATGATTTTTGGCTGTGTTTTCGCTATCGTTATTACTTGCTTTGGGGAGAAATTGTCTAATTTGTTGGTTTATAAGATGGTTATCTGTTATTCACATACGCACATATATAGAAAATGTTTCCTTTAATCTTTGATTTCTTTTCCCAGGTAAAAGAAAACGAAAACATATGAAAAAAGTGAGTAATTTTTATAGAAATTTTGTTGATTTATAAAAAATGTTATTCCTTAACAATTGCTACATTTTGGCGTATTTTATTACTTAAACGTTATTTTAGTAGAGACCCATATTTTAGTAGACACTCCATTTATTTATTAAAACATCTACCAACCTGAATATATGACAAATCTTATTAAAGAAAAATATATGCTCACTTGGCAGGAGACACCATTGTTAGATCCAAATGTGCTTTAGACCATTTTGGCCATATTTTTCTTTAATAATACAGGGTGTTCCAAAAGTCTTGGGAACATTTTGACATTGAATATCTCAAAAACTATTAAGGATATAAAAATGCGCCTGACATATTCTGAAAGAATATAATCTCAAGTTCTACATGGAATGTTCAGAGATGTTCAGTGTAAGCACTGTTGGTCACATGGCACATATCAAGCCGATAGTCCAATTCATGCCAAACATGTTCCAGCATTGTGTTGTCTATGGTTGCAACAACCTCCATTATTCAGGCCTTCAGTTAATCCACATCTTTTGGAAGGTGGGGGGGCACATAGACCAGTCCTTTCACAAACCCCCACAAAAAGAAATTGCAGAGTGTGAGATCTGGAGACCTGGGAGGCCAGGGCATGTGAAAACAGTCATCTCGCCCAGACTGTCCAATCTGTCTGTCTGGCAGTGTTGTGTTCAGAAACTGTCTAACTCTGCAGCTCCAGTGTGGTGGCGCCCCATCCTGTTGGAAAATGAAGTCACCAGACTCTTCCTCACTCAACCTATCGATTAACAAGTTTTCCAGCATGTCGAGGTATATGTCACCATTGACTGTTGCTCCTTCAAAGAAGAATGGTCTGTAGATAGCTTTCTTGGACATAGCACAAGACACGGTCACTTTGGGGAATCTTGCTGATGCTCAAGAATTTCATGTGGGTTCTCAGTACTCCATATGCATGTGTTATGCTTGTTAACTTTGCCATTTACGTGGAAGGTCACCTCATCACTAAAAAAAGTGAATATCTCGGTGTTCTCAAAATAAAAATTATAAACGAAATGGATAATTAAAGTCCCCATCTTCTTATTATCAGATATATATATATATATATATATATATATGTGTGTGAAAAGTCTATATAAATAAATATATATATGTATAATTATTTATATATTATATGCGCGGTACTTATTAGAAAGCACTCAATATCAGAGATAGAGCTAACATATTTGGTTGGATAGATGTGAGTTTGTGACCCTGGGTTTCACGATTTAGCGATCGTCAGACAAACTGAAAAACATTAATCAGTTTGTCTGATTTATCGCAAAGCTTGAAACCCAGGGTCACAAACTCACATCTATCCAACCAAATATAAATATATATATATATATATATATATATATATATATATATATATATATATATATAATGTACAAAAAAGAAAAAAAACAGAGAGAAAATCCATTGTTCATAGCACTTTACTTTTAAAAAAAGTGCTCAGTACAAAGTACAACAATATATCATTATCATATTTTTATTATAGAATATATATATATATATATACCAGGACACTTGGAAAGGTGTATAGCATCCCTAATAGGGGACATGATTGTAAGGTGTCATGTGCAGTCGTCTTTTTAAGACACACCAAACAGTTGTTGTAGGAAGTTGAAGTTCCTTACTGGCTCTTCTGATTGATTTACAGGGGCTCCACTCGAAGGCAGTTTGAACTCGCTCAACCGTATCATCTGAAGTTGATGGGCATCCCGTTCTCTTAGCTGGGCACAAATACCCATCCTTCATGAATTTACCATGCCATCTTAATATGGACTTCCTTTCTGGTGCCTCTTTTTGGAATTTTGTGTGAAATGCACGTCGAACAAGTGTCCATAATTCAGTTTTTGCAAATTTAAGGACACAAAAGTGAACGCCATTACTGGATCTGAAAAAATATGAAAAAAATCATTAGCATTACAAAAAACTTAATGAATTTAGCTTTAAAATGGTACCAACTTCATTTTACTACCATTCATAGTTCAGCAGATATGAGGACTTGAAATGTGCCCAAGAATTCTGGAACACCCTATATTTCTTGAATATTCAGGCTGGTAGATGAAAATAAATATACTGTTTAATAAATGACTGTCACTACTTAAATATGGGTATCCACTAAAAATAACGTTTGAGTAATAAAATCTCTCAGATTAATAAATAAAAATCAATCACTTTAGAAATTATTTTAATGTATTTAACTATAATGGGACAAGTACTGATTTTAAACCATGAAATATTACATTACTTACATTATTTGGACTATTGTCCTCACCTTTGTCACCATATTTATTACAACGTTTCGGTTGTTGTACGCTCCGGCCTTCTTCCGGTGGTTGGAATGTCGAACTTAACCCTTTATTTCGCTCACTAGAGTAGACTGTTCTAGTTCCATGTGCCATGTTTAATGGATGTCAGTTATCAGTTGTCTCCTGTTAATTTCCCTCTGAAACTCACACTCTTTGGGCCCTGTCACAGGATCTAACCAACGCCTTTATCCACTGTGCCATGTGTCCTTGAGTGTATGAATTTCTGGGTATTATAAACCTAATGTCTTCAGCAGCCATTTTTTACCAGTGCTCATATTGCAATTTTTGCTGTTATAGTTTCATGTTTTTACCAGAGCTCATATTGCAAATATAGAAATTAATACAACATGGGAACCAGTAATAAGGAGTGCCAGAGAAAAGTGATAACAACAAAAATTGCAATATGAGCTCTGGTAAAAATATAGACAGATACATGAAATATTAATTGCAATGCTTTTTGGAGCTCAGCTGTTTGAGTTAGTTGTGGAGATTTATCCTTGTCAATTCACTGACTTTGGTTTGAACATTGTTGTACATTAGTGGAAAATTTCCACACAAAAAAGTCCCCTTACTTTCTATTAGGCCAAGTGATGAAAATGCCTGAAATAATTTTTCTTTTTTTATTTCTTTCAGCGTCGAAAGAAAACAGAATTGCCAAAACACTTACAAGGTTTGATGGGAGAAGCTAATTTGAAATTTGCTCGTGGGGATCACCAGGAAGCCATCAACATGTGTCTGGAAGTTATACGTCTTGGTATGTCCATCTAAGCATTTTGCCATTATTGATGCCAACATTGTCTTGTAAGTTGCTGAAGAAACTTGAGTGGACAGATCAAGAATTAATTTTGATTGGCACCACACAAGTTTGAATCCCTGCAAATTCTTGAATTTCAATGTTGTTTTGATTCTAATCAAATAAGGAAATCATTGACAAGGCTGAAAAATTAACTTTTTTTTTTTTTGAATATTTCCATGATACTTTTTTTTTTTATTTGTTTCATAACATTGCTTTTGTTCTTTTAGAGGATAAATACTTGAAATATTTTTGTTGTAATAGAATGTTTCACTCTCCCTATTGCCTATTGTGAACTGACTATATCTATATATATCTGACTATATCTCTATATATATATTAACTTATTTAAAATATGTTTTTTTTTCGCTACACAGTTCTAACCATGTTTCAAAAATGGAAGCTAAAAATAAAATATCTATAAGAACACCAGATTATATATCTTACTGTTCTTTCTTTTTATTTTATATATATATATATATATATATATATATATATATTTAGTGTGCACAGGATATACCTGAGACTTGCTTTAGGAGTTGCTAACCGATTTCCTGTGTTTCAGTAGTGTATTTTCTTTTACAATATACCTCTCTTTCTTTCATCTATGCCTGTATTGCAGTTCCTTTCCCTCAAGTACCACCTTTCTCTGTTTGTAACCTCTTTAAGGATACAACAATTTTTTTTCTATAAATTCTCCTTTCAGCACCCCAAGCAATTATACCTTTCCAAACTTTGGGCATGCTGTATGAAGAAATGGGTGACCTGGAAAAGTCTTTACAGGTGAGTTAAATTCTTTCTGCATTTTCTTTTTCTATCTCTCCTCTTTTTTCTCTCTATCGCCTGTGTTTATTATTGTACACTTTTATGTGAGGTTGTGTGTTTCTGAGTACACACTAATCTTAGTGTCAGACATGGGTAGAATAATGTGGTAAGAATATATTTCATTGCATCCCAAATCAAAATCTGAAGTTCTGATTTTTAACTTGGCTTCATCATTAATACTGTTGGGAAATACATAAGTACTGTGTGTACATACTGTAGGGTAACCCTATCCTTTGGATTTCAAAGAATTACCTTAAAAACTGAAGGGTGTGTACCTTTTTCTAAAAGTAATTCACTTGCTTGCTTTGGGCCAAAGGGATTTTCTCTTCTTGAAGGGTTTTACCATATGTTCATTAATAATAATGACATGGAAATTAACACACTACTGCATTTTCCTGAAAATGTTATCTCTTTTTGCCTGATTTATATTGCTGGCTAATGGTAATATTGAAGTTGGCATATTTTAAATTTTAGTAAAACGTCTCTATAAAAAATTGGATGCTATGCACTAATGGGTTTCAGTATCCTAACTTAGTAGGAGTTAATTAAACCAAAGAAGGCATGAAACTTACCTATTATTAAATCAAGAATGTGCCCCAAATATTTTACCTATAATGTGTGTGTGTAAAATGCATGTATGCAGGTATGTATGTATGTGTGCGGGTTTAAATAAGAAACAATTAGGAAAATGTTTATAAATTTAACATGTTTTATTAGTTATTTAACTTCATCAGAAATTTTAGAAAATGGCTGACAAAATGATTGACTAAAAACAAGTAGGAAAATGGTCATAAATTTAACGTCTTTTAGTAGTTATTTAACTTCATCAGAAATGCTCTGCCATTTTGCTTAAGATTAGATAATCTGCAGTAAAGAGTATGCTCAGTGACACACAATGATATAATAAAAATCTATCACAAAACAGGCCGTATTGTATGCTACAATGTGGTTATGTTGCTTTGGAAATAGTACTAAGTGTTAGGAATGGAAATTTCACTGTGTCTTGAAAATGTATATATGTGATATTGTCGGCACTCATGTAGAAAGGGAAAGTGGTTTCATCTAAATCTTGAGTGTTTCTGTTTCATGGACTGGCGCCTTTTGAAGGTCACTCTTGTAAGCTGCATCTACTTTGACCAAAGGGTAACACGGTAGTAAAGGGATAGTAAATGTTTTTTTTGGAGATCAAGTGGCAACAAAACCGGATACAGGACATATCTGCATACTGGTCTATATTAACAGTCATGATTGGGGAGAGTCCTGGTCTGCCCTTGGTAGGATATGGACATATGTGTTGTGCAGTTCTGAAGCCTCCATTAACCAGCTACCACTTTGGGATAAGTAGATGGTAAGAGCTGACATAGAAGTTGTACCAAGTATCACATACCTACCCCCCACCCAGACGAACAGGGTTCATGTTCTTATTTCTTGGCATGGCATTTATCTTCATCGTATAAACTTAGGAGCATGCAGCACACTCTTCCGCAGTTTTTGGTGTATACTGACAAGATTGAGAATTGGGATGCAATATAGGGTTATCATTGGTTGGTCAGTGGAAAACTTGGGTGAGAATTGCATTGTATGTTTACAGAATATTGTTCTGGTTTTAATTACTTTTTTTTTCAAAGTAGTGGATGCTGAATTTATAGAGAACAAGTGGCAACAAAACTGGAAATAGAGTATATCCGAGTGTGAGTCTATATTAACGGTTATGCTTGGGATTGAGGAGAATTCTGGTCCTCCCTTGGCAGGAGGCTGGCTTGTCCATCACGTGGTTCCTGTGCTGTCCATTTTTATTGCCAGCCACCACAACAGGATGAGCAGATGAGCAAAGGAGTTGGTCGGAGTAAGAGCTGAGCTGTTAGATGAGCACAGCAGAAGTTCTCCCAAGTAACACCTGCCTAGACAAGCAGGTGAAACAGGATTTGCATTCTTATTTCTAAATGTGGCATTTGTCTTTCATCATATTACCTTGTAGAGAATGCAGCATGCTATTTCCCAACTTTTTGGTTCATAACAATGTGATCGAGAATTGAAATGCAACATAGGGTAATCATTAGCCAGTTGATGCAAAGCTTGGGTGATGACTGGGTTGTATGTTTACATATATACATCAGCAGCTGGCATGGTTAGATTCGTAATGACATATAAGTATGTCAATAGTAGCAGAAGTGTTAAAAACATGAATACTGGCAGTTTGTTACTTTTTAAATTTTTAATGATTATCAAGAAATTTTGTTGACCATTTTTTGAAGGTTCCCTTCTCACTTCATAGTTTACATTGACAGAAATAATTGTGCGCTTTTGTTTTCCAGTTGTACTTGATTGCAGCTCATTTATGGCCTAACGATCCTGAAGAGTGGGCTCGTTTGGCTCACATGTCCAAAGAACTTAACAACCCACGCCAGGCAATTGCCTGCTACAGCAAAGGTAACCGCTTTTTACTATTGTTATTATTATTGTTTGTTCAGTGGCATATCAACTCCTTGTGGGTCATTTAATGCCAAAATTTAATTTTCTTGGATGCATTAGTAATTTCTTTTACAAAAATGTATTGCTGGTAATTTTTTTTTTTACTATGAAATGTATTTTTATACTTTCATGATTATTTGACCCCAGTTTGAGGGGGTTAACAATTTCCCCTTAGTTGAGACCCTAACAGGTGTTAACACCCTGGGTCAAGATAGATATGGGAACAACAGCAATTAAGAGGTGGTTCCACACTCTTCAAAACCTCCTGATCAGAGGCCTTGCTGCTGGATGTAGTTTATCGTCATGCCCAGGATGTGTAACTGTTTATCTGCTGGTCTCTGATATAAGTAAGTAAATAATTGACATAAGTTGTCTGTAGTAGGCACTTTGTAATTAATGAGAAAGTTCTAAAGAAAATGCATTTAAAAATGCAGCTTATTGCCAGACTTACTCATTTGCTATATGACAAGATAAAAAGATTGTGTATTACTGGCTAGTTGGTTCAACTTCTACTTTGTTGATGCTGTGGACTAACGTGACCTGAAGGGACCTGTCTCACTGACTGAATTTGCCAGAGAAATTAGTTATCTCATGATAAAAAAAACATCTTTTGAATCTATTGAAAAATAAACAACTGATGTGAATGATTACGTAGCTTTAAGGATCCAAATGAAATTAACAACTTTGCCAACATATTTCCCAAAGACTTAATCATCTAATTCAAGAAATGTGTATTTTTATCTCTGCTTTACTCGTAGAGTGATCCTTGTATATTGCAAAATTTCATCAATTATTCTGCATTTTATTTAGTTTTTCTCTTGCACAAGTTTTCCACTCAATGCTGCGTATGTTGTAAAGTGTGTTGACTGAATGGTTGAGCCACTCCAGTGTTGGACTGAAATGTTGTTATGGTGAAACACCCCTATTCTATAGTTAATAGACTCTTCCACCTAATATAACTAGTAGTAGTAGTAGTAAGAGAAATGAGGGTTAGTCGATGTCGGACGACAGTCGAATATGAAAGTAGTCAGCGACCACAACAAGATTACTCTGCGTAATACCTATTATATCAAGTTCCTAATGGTTTTGTACGTTGAACTATTTAGGACCGATTTAGTACAAATAAAAGCCTCCACTGCGAAATAACTCCGCAACAACTTTGATTTTTTTTCACTGTTCCTCTTTCTTGACTGGTTGCCAACCTTATCAGTTAATGAGGGTTTCTATTCTTGCATCACCTGTTGGTGCTCAGTTTCCTACAGCTACACTAACTTTTTATCTATTGTGTCACATATGACATCTAGGTGTCTATTTCTATGGGTAGGGGATGGTAAAAACCATCCAGTGTACTGTTAATATTTTGACACTTCATTTTGTATATCTATAGATTATATTGTAAGAAAATGTGAGATGGTGTAATTATCAACTCTGAAAACAAAATTCAGTAACATTGAGTTCCATTAATTTTATAATTTTTACAGTAATAGTTTTGGGAAAGGCATGACTTATCTTTCCCTGTGTCCCATAGTCTTTTCGCTGGCAGGTCACAATACTCAATAGAGGAAAAAGTGGAAGAACATGTACACTCAACCCTGTCATGAATTACCTTATGAGATGAGGCATGGTAACAAAATAGCTACACACACCTTGTCAGTCTCTAAGACTGAAACCAATATATTTATTCAAAATATCACTATAATTATATAAATTAGCATTACACTCACTTGACCACTTGGAAATACCAGATGCTGTAAGTTTGGATGTGCAGGTGGTGCAATGGATAATGGCTTGGAATTGTTAATTGGAGAACTGAGTTCCAGTTTCAGTTGAGATTGTTGTATTCACTTATGTGGAAATAACCTTGGGAAAGTTATGAATACATTGCTTCTTCCTCCATCTATGGGTTAATTAGTAAGAATTATATCACTAAATCATTATCTTAAAAGACAAAATTCTTACAATCTAAAAAAATATTTTCTGGCTTTAAATAACCTGTAAAATGTACTACTAAAACATTATCTCCAAACAAAATAAAATTATGTATAAAATATTTACTTTTTGGTATTAAAAAATCCACTAAACAAAAACAACCACCACTCACTTGTTTTAAGGATTGGTTGAAGTGATTTGTGTGTGTGTGTGTGTAATATGTACAAACAGTGTGAACATAGGAAGCAACACATACTGTGATAATATACTGTTTATTTCTACATATGCCCTATTCTTGATATTGAACCTGTTTCAACTATAATTACAGCAAATTTGAAACAATTATATATGTATATGTATGTATATATATATATATATATATATATATATATATATATATATATGTGTGAAAAATATATAGAAAATAGGAAAGAACTCGTTAGGTAAATAATCCAAAGTTCTTTAGTATTTTTGTTATTATTTTTAAAAAATAGTGCTCAATACAAAAGTAGACCATAAATATAATTATTTATTTAAATATATTTTGTGGGAATCATATTTTAAATAAATAATTATATATATATATATATATATATATATATATATATATATATATATATTAAGATAAACGTGCAATCAATATACAAATTCATGAATTATTCACACAAAAACTAATGCAAAGGTTAATGATTTAATTGGCGAGACATCCATCAAAATAAACAATTCAAATAATATACAAAAACCTCCGAATCCGTTATGAATGAAATGATCCTTGTTTATATAAATTTCTGCCGTATTAGTTCTTATTTTTACTACAAGCTTTTGTCTGTTCCTACAGACATCTTCAGGTATAGAATAGATGTTGTTCTTGTTTTTTCTCTTAGTAATAAGAGGACAACGAAAATATATGTATTGTTGTATCTGAAAATGCTATTTATATTATTTGAATTGTTTGCGATGATGGATGTCTCGCCAATTAAATCATTAACCTTTGCATTAGTTTTGTGTGAATAATTCATGAATATATATATATATATATATATATATATATATATATATATATATATATATATATATATAAAATGCACTTAATAAAACTGATAACCATAATTTTCCATACTGGAAAATAAAGTTGATTTTTTTACTTTTTATTTATTTATTAGCTATTCGATGTGACCCTTCAAATCCTGATTACATTTGGGCCAGATGTAACCTCTATGAGCAAGTTGGTGAACATACCAAAGCACTGGAAGGTTACCAAAGCATTTTACAACTGATGACTGTCTCTGGGGCAGATGCAGAAGACTATTGGCGTTTGGCCAGAGATACATCAAGGGTAAGAGAGGGCGTTTCCTTTTTGTTTTTATTAAATACTTCTTCAAGGATACATAATTTTTATTCATCATTTTCATGGCTTAAAGCTGTAGAGATTTGTCTTGTCATTTCTTATTGGATAATGGCAGTTGTTTTACGAGACCAAAGTAATAATATTTGGGAATAGAGATTCTCCTGAAAGTCTGCTCTTAGAATTAGTAGCAGGAAATAAAAAAAATATCTGATAAGGTTGTATTCTGATTAGGCAATTCTCCAATCCATTAGGAAGACGACACTTAACTGATATAAACCAGTTTATTTTTGGTCTTTGAAGAGACAAAGAAGGGAATGATTTTGTAGATATCATCTTTGGTTAGGTTGGTAAATTTGTCATATCTACTCTTGTGTTATTTAACTTTGACAAAAATCACTGTATTAATAGAAAGGTAGACCCAGATCCAGTTTGTAACATAATCAAAAAGGTAAACCCAGGTGTGGTTTGCACAATACTCAGAATGGTAGACCCAGTTTGAGTTTACCAGTACATTACTGACCAAACTCATCTGGGCTGTGAACATTGTCCAGCTTGTGAGTCATGTAAAAGGAAACCAGTATTATTTAAGATAAAACTGTCATGATAAACTCATTAACATTAGAGTCTACTCAGGATGTTTGATGTGAATATACATTTTTCAAATTTTTGCCTGGCATCTTGTTTACAGGTCAAATTGGTAATGGGGGGGAACAATTAAATTTTTATTGACCAGCCAACATCCTGGAATCAATGATGATTTTTTTTATGTCCTCAAATTATGGAAGGTATTCCCTTTAAACTTCCTATAAAATAATTGAAGATTAAGGAAAGCAATTTTTTTTTTACTTTATTCCTTTTTTGCATTCTACTGTACTCCTATGATATAAGAAGTTATGTAATTTTTAAGAACTTTATATGGTAATGCACTGCAGTGGAGGAGGCACAGTGGAGTAATGCATAGTGGCTCGGATTGAGGAATTGGAGAGCTGAGTTCAAATTGCAGTTGAATCCATTACATTCGCTTACGTGCTAATACCCTTGGGAAAGTTATGAATCCTCTTTTTCTCTCCCCCCCCCAGCTATGGGTAAATAGCAGGACAGACTAGGTTCTATAGCCATGAATGGCAACTGGTGTACTGCAGAAAGTAATGGCAACCTACTGCAGGAAAAAATCTGCCTTGTCAGTCATGTATCAAAAGATACATGATTGCATAAGCGTGTATCACGCATGGCACATAACTGACTGACTGCAGTGTTCATTCAAACAATGTTTATTTGTAATTGTCTCTTACAATTGTGCTGCTCATCCTTAAAACCATCACTGTCATTTAATCTCCCTGTGCCATCTCCCTTAAGTACGTGAATGATCATGGCTCTCCACAACTTCCTATACATTGTAACTCTAATGCTTGTTGCTTTACTTTCCCTCCCAGTCTCTCTTCTGACATACACAAACTTGTTAGGTAGGTTACTTGGTGTTAAATTCTCCAAGCGCTCTTTCCACAAGGGCTTACGGCCTCATGACATCGAAACATTGCTTCCTGTACAATCACTGAAGTTAAGCAACATCAAGTCTGATCAGTACCTAGATAGAAGACCACTTGAAAATACCAGGTAAACTTGGATGTGTCAGTGGTGTAATGGATAATGGCTCGGAATTGTAAATTGGATAGCTGAGTTCAAATTCCTCTTGGGTTCATTATATTCACTTAGGTGCAAATACCCTTGGGAAAGTTATGAATCCACCTTTTCTCCCACAGCTATTGGTTAATTAGTAAGACTATTATCACTAAACCATTATCTCAAAAAAAATTCTTACAATATAAAAATATTTTCTAGCTTTGAATAAAACCTGCAAAGGGTTGATAAGCTGTAGAAAATAAATAAACCAACCAACCAACCTCTTTCCTCATAATGTATACTTTAACGTGTCCTGTGAGTATTACATTCTCCGAGCCTGCTTTCCTCATAATGTGTCCTAGAAATTTTAACTGTTTCCTTCTGATTCTAAGTATAAGTGTCTTTTTTGTTCCCATTTTCCTTAAAATTTCCTTGTTGATCACATAATCAGTCCATATTATCAGCATCCTTCTTCAGAACCACATCTCTCTTGTCTCAAGTCTCCTATTGAGAAAATTTCCCAGTATTCAGTGTCATTTAGAAAAGTTGTTATTACATAGCAGTTCAGCACTTCTTTTTTTTTTTGTTTACCTTTATTTGCAAATTAAAATTTTTCATGGCCATTTTTTTCCTTTTTTTTGATTTTCTTCTGGCAGGCTTATCTTGAGCTTGGTGATTTAACCAATGCTTTGTCCACCCTACAGAAAGCCTGCAAAAGCTACCCGAATTTAATCACTTCTGAAGGTAGGTCTCCACAAACAGTGCTTTTCAATAACACTCCTTCAGTTTGTGTCTGTGTGTCTTTTTATGAAATCCTTTTTGGGTTGACTTGCTGTCCTCATCAGCATGAAGCGACCTCTGCACTTAGATCCTTGGTTGAAAATAAAATCGCAACACCTTTGAATGTTTTTAAATTTACTTAAGATTAAACATACCTGTTAATTTCCCTCTGAAAGTTCTCCACTGCCTTAACTGGGTATTGAACTCATACTCTTTAGGTCCTGTCACTGGATCTAACCAACACCTTTATCCACTGTACCATGTGTCCTTGAGGACAGTTTTTCTCACACTTCTCACTTGAGAACTCTTTTCCAGCTCCATACTTTCCAGCCAACTTTGATCTTCAAAAATTGAAATGCAATGTCAATTGTTATCTACTGTCTTCTTGATTATTCTTCTATTGTTCTCATTCCTTAATAATGTTTCTCTTTTTTTTCTTATTCTTTCACGCTCATTAGCCTCTTGTGTCTTACTGGCTTTACTGGGGTGATAAAGAAAAAAATCATTCATACCAGTGCACTGTCTGATCTTTAGACAGTTACACATACTGTGATATTAAATGTGGCAAATGGTACCTGTTCAATCAGGCCTCCTGTCATAGAGATACACATGTACTCTTTTTGTTCAACCATTGGTTCTACCTATCTACAAAATTATGTCACAAAATGTCTTAAGACTAAAAATTTTATCAGAATTTGTACTGATCATACTGTACCCGGGTCATGATTGGCATCATCCTTCAAAATGTTGCAATTTTATTTTCCGTTGGGATATTATTTAACTGATATTTGTTACTTTGAAAACTGTCTGACCTCATTATTTGTAATTTTGCTTTTGATGTTTGCATAGTAAGGTATGGCACAAAGCAAACAAGTTAGGGAATGGGAATAGGGTAGATGATTGTTACAGTTGAGAGTAACAGAAATGTGCCGCCATTTTGTTTAATTTTTAGTAAAAAAAAGTTTTTGATAACCTACTTTCAGAAGTCTTATTTAGTCATTTAGGTCAGCAATACAATGCCAAACATATAAAGTAGTAACTGCATGCAAGCAGGCATACTTTTCTGACCTGTTTTTTTTTTATTTTCACTGTTTTTAAGCAACTAATATTCAAGAATATTTTTTGATGATTGTGTTCTTGGTTCAATAAAAACAGCATATGCTAATGCTCATCATGCTAATGTATGTTTTGCTGTTAGAGACACATCTGAGCAAATGACTGTCAGCTTTTTAGTAACATTTTAACACCGATCCCATAGTTATTTAAATTAAAAATATTTCATTGAAATAGATTATTTTATCAATTATAAGTTATTTTTTTCCAAAATTCTTCGTCATATAATTCTACAGCTGGTAAGTAAAGCTCTTGTTGGTATCATTATTTTTTCATTTTTTTTTCTTCAGATATCAACACAATCCTTGAAATGCAAATTTCCCAGAAGATCTTTGTTGAATCTCTTGAGGTAAGGATTCTTCCGTCATAAATTTTATTTTTATTATCTATTCATCTCTTCTTGTATGCCAGTTGGCTGGATTAGGGCTTCTATTTTAGTATAGTGAGTTTGAGCTTCACTAGGTGCCTCAATTCAGCGATTCTTGTGCTAAGTGTAGCATCATGAATTGGATTTAACTATGTTACTCAGCAAGTGCCAATGGAAGTAAATAATGCAAAACTTGATACTTTGGGTTAACCTACTTGGAAAAAAGATTTCATGCCTTGATCATCAATCGATGTATGTGTGAATGCATAAAATATGGTATGTAAAATAAACTAAGAAATATCTGAAGAAAACAACACAAACTCATATACAAATTTCTTAGCTAAATGGAATTACAATTTTGTCTTTACACTTCCACATAAAAGCATATACTCACACACACAACTTGTAATATGTACAATATATATTCTTTTTCTATGTTCTGCATCTCTTCAGGACATGGGTAATTACAGCTCTCAAAAAATTCCTATCCCTTAGCAGTGGCCCTTAGCAGTGGCTCTTAGCAGTGGCCCTTAGCAGTGGCTCTTAGCAGTGGCCCTTAGCAGTGGCCCTTAGCAGTTTTCTACTTTTGCTAAGGTTAATGTCACCTCCAATTCCGTCATTCATTCACACAGGCTTTCTGGTTTCCCTGGTCTCTCTTGCCCTCAATATACCCTGTGAGGGTTAAATTTTCCAAGCCCTTCTTTCCACATCATGTATCCAAGAAATTTCAGTTGCCTCTTCCTGTTTCTGAGCATAACTGTTCTTTTTGTTGCTGTTTTCTTTGACCAATTTGTTACTTACTTAATCCGTCCATGGAATTCTCAGTATCTTTCTAGAGAAACACATTTCTGTTAACTCCAGTTTTCTTCTCATCCATGGAGAGATTATCCAGCATTCTCTGCCATAAGAAGACAGATATCACATGGTAATACGGTACTAAGAATAATTCTTATAATTGTATTTAAGCAGATGAAAATAATAAAAATATACTGTATTCTCTTGTGCATAATACAAGAAATATTTAATGGAAAGGCAAAAAAGTGGAGATCATATTATACACAAGTACACATTTTCATAAAATTTTACTCAGCTTAAAAAACCTCTTATTTGAAACTGCAAGATTACAAATACATTGTTTGCACTATAGGTAATAAAACAGAAAATAGGCAAGTGCTGATAATGGTTTACTAAAGGTATTTGATATGTTGGCAATATTTATTTCTCACTACATTCTTAATGTCGACAATATTTGCTTTCTCTCTTCATTCATAATGAAAAACAATATTTTTTATTTTTATATTTTAATAGTTTATTTTTTTATAGTTTCATTAATATATAGAAATATAAAATTATATCAAACAAAAGTATGTTAGATTAATTAACAGCTTAAAATGTATTACTGGGTATGTTAGCACCTTTTCTTCACAATTTGAAAAATAAGTTTTGAAACAGGAAGTAGAAGAAGAAACATGTAATGACTAAAGAACTGGTTCATTTCTATTCTTTAATTTTGTAAAAATTAAATATTTTAGTGAAATATATGTACAACATTGAGATTTTAGTGGATAATGATACAACTTTTCAAAAGAACTTATGTTTGTATTATGGGGTTGTATTATACTCAAGGGTGTAATTTATTCCTTATTTTTAGCTTCAGAAACACAAGGTCGTATTATGCTTAAGAAAATATGGTAATTCATATTAATAGGCAGTTTAGAAATATTTTAGAATTTATAAATCCAGCTGGTGGTTGGGCTATGGCTTTCTTGGAATTAAAATTGAAATAGTAATTTAGTCTCATTATCTTAAACATTAGCCCTAGAATCTTCTGGCTTAGAATGTTGTAGGCTGTCATGTCACATCATATCACAACCATGATTATTTATTTAAAGTTACCTTGGTGATAAGGAGAGTACTATTAAGCTATATATAAACAGGGCCTCTTCTTCTATCCCAGCTATGGATAAATAGCAGGACAGACTGGGTTTTATAGTCTTGGATGGCAACTGGTCTACCGCAGAATAATTTCATTTGGAAAATAATGCTTGGCAGTATACCTTCAAGTCACAATGGTGATACTGACAAGGTCAAAAATAGCCAAAGTCTTTACATATTTTATCAAAATGTATACTCCCACTTTTTAAGCACATACAATATGTGCATACAAAGAAGTAGCATATATTCTGATACAATGGATAAAATTGGCAAAGTCCTACAAAGTGTTGTAGTTTTTGTTGCTTTGGTATATAAAAGCTTCCCTGATTTTAACTTAGAAACATGTCACTCAACTGAAACCATTAGACATGTTTCTCACAAGTAATTAAATGTACTTCTCTTATGGGAAGTGTTATTTTACAAGGGACCGAATAGTGTCCAAGAAAATAGACAAGCTGTTGTCGAAGGGAAATAACTATTAAATGCCTGACTAACCTCTCTTACTCATTTTTTTAAAAAATCATTTCACCTCAAGCAAGACAATAAAGCCACAAAGACACAAGGGGTTACTGAGTGATAGAAAAAAATTATGAGAAAAACTACTATTAAGGAGAGATGACAATAAAAGACAAACAATAATGATTGACATTGCATTTAAATTTTTGAAGATCAAAGTCGACAGGGAAGCAATAGATGAAACTGTTAGAATGTAACTTTACTATCATTATCAAGTTTACTCACCAAAGGAGATGTGTATCAGCAGCAGTGGCTTGACCAATGAGAAAAAAATGTAGCAAAAAATGAATGCAAGAGAACCGAGACATGTAGGCAAAAGGGACAGAGGAAAGCATCGAATAACCTACCTAACAAACTTGTGTAAATGGTTAACAGAACAGGGATTAAGAGAGATAGCAAAAAGACAAACCTTAATAAGTTATAGAGAGCCATAATCATCGATGTCCTGAAGGTACATGACATATAGAACAAGTAGATTAAGAACAAAGATTAGTTAATGATTAATATAGTACATTTTAGTGTCTTTTTGTGATAAAACACACATTGATTTGGAAATTCTTGCAAAAATCAAATAATTGTTAGACTTTAATTAAATTCTCAGAACTTATTCACAAGTGAATGAAATTATTTAAAAAATTTTTTTTTTTTTTTGAAAATCTAGGTAAAAATATTTTTTTTAAACCTCTTATCTCAAACTTACTTAATTTTATGAAATTTTGAGAAATTAAATTTCAACTTCTTCATATTTATATTAGTTAAAAGCAGGACTCCTTGGAGAATTTAAATCACCAGTTTGTTTTCGTTAAACAGAAGCTCCATTTATTGAAAATCTGCTTGGAATCATAAAATAAAAAAAAATGCATAAAACTAAAACATTATTTAATTAGAAAAGCTTTTAATTGCTTTTAGAAATAAGATCTATTAAGGACACTATTGTCTTAAGAAAAACTTTTTTCAATGGACAATGAATTTGTACAAGAATTTTTTACATTTTTTAAAAATTTTAATTAGAATAATTTAAGTTAATTTAAGTTTTAAATCTTTTAAAATTCTGTATTCCTTTTAGATGATATTATTAAGTAAAAACTATATTTACATGTTTCTGAAAACAGATTAATTATACTTTAAATCAGCTAATATTCCTCAAATAAAGTTTCAGAGTTTCAAAAAGTTTTATTTTTGGAAATTACAAGAGAATTACATTGCAATGAATGTGTGCTAAAATGGCACTAAAATCAGAATTTTAACCAAAAAAACAATCTCCTTTCAGTCAATTTAAATTAGTTTTGAAATAGAGCAAAATACTTTGCTTATTGGAAATATTAAATTTAATCTATTAACTTGAAATTAAAACCAAAATAAAAGTTTCAAGAAATATTTTTCATTTTTAAAAATTTATTTTAAACCTTGTGTATCAGGAATTAGTGGAGGTACCTACTTTAAACGATGGTTGGTTTTGTGTGTGGGGGTGTAGCAACATAACACTGATATATATGAATTGCTATTTAAAAATTATATTTTTTGCTTATTTTTCTGGATATAAAATACAATTCTAGTAATGTTTCTTTTCTTTTTAGTTATTGGTGAAATTTTGTGGTGTGGTTTTTGAATTTGAAAAATTCAACTGGAGCTGTGAATCCCTTTATGTCCCAGATGGTCTACAAGATGGCCGTCTGCTGCCAGTCAAGTGAGTCAATAGAAAATCAAAAGACATACCTTTATAATCCTCAGTATGTGTCTATATCTTCTTTGATGTTTCTCCTATGTATTCCTTGTGGTAATTATTACAGGTGATAGAGTAAATTCCTCCTTCAGGTTTTAGTTTATTATTTTTTCTTGTATTAATTCTTTTACTGTTTTAGAAGTAGTTGTAACAAGCTTAAAACTATTTTCAATGTATCTCTTCTCTTCATGTAAATTTTGAGGGCTACAAATTCTAAATGTTCTTAAATAGAATCCAATGATTATTCTGGATTTTATTTTATTGTTATGATGAGAAAAGAAACAGGAAAAAAAAATCAAGATTATATGAACACAAAAGGGATCTTTTCCAAAACAACACACTCATAATTTTGATTTAAAAAAATGCTACTTTAGTTAAAATTAATCCGAAAATGCATAGAAAGTGCTTTAATCACTAGAACGTCCACAGTAAATTTACATACAGGTTCTTACAGCATTTAAACTTTCTTGGCAATGTAGGATATTTAATAAAAAAAAGTGATAAAAAAAAAGAAACAAAGTGAAATCAGCTAGACATACATATAGACGAATACATAGACCAATACATATTTTAAAAAAATTAAAAGATAAAAATTCTAAAATATAAATTTAAAATTATCAATGTCCCCTTTCCTTCATGCACATATATAGTCGCATCAACATAAACATAAGTTTAGTCTTATGAACAGACTAAAGTTATGATTATATTGATGCAACTACAGGACAAAATGTGTCGAACTAAAAAATTTTTAACTTTGTCGTAGATTGCTCTTAAAAATTTTTCTTGATATATAAAAATTTATATATCATTTTCTTATATATATGCTGGTTAGGGTGAAAGTAATTGATTTGTTTTTTATGGCTTATCAACCCTTTACAGGTTATGGAAAATTTTCTTCAACCAATCATAGTTTTCTTGAGAGTATGAGATATTGCTTTATTAGCGCACAATGCATTTTTTTTTTTTTTTTGTGTGTGTGACCTGGTTAAATATTTGTTTTATGACTTATCAACCCTTTGCAAGTTATTTAAAGCCAGAAAATATTTTTACATTGTAAGAATTTTTTTTTTAGTAGTAATGATTTACTGATACAAGTCATACTAATTAACCCATAGCTGGGGAGAGAAGAAGTAGATTCATACCTTTCCCAAGAGTATTTGCACATGTATATATAATGAACCCAACTGGAATTGGAACACGAGTATTCTGAGCTGTTATCCATTACATGACCTGCGCATTCAAGCTTACAGCACCCTGTGATTTCCAAGTGGTCACCTATCTCGGTATTGACTAGGCTTGACGTTGCTTAACTTTGGTGTTCAGATGTGAACCAGTGTTTTAATGTGGTCCTTCTGTAAGCCTGGTAGCTGTTTTCAAGGATTGTCAGACTTGCAAATTTTGAGGTTACAGATATTTTTCTGATACAAATTTTTACTGATCAAAAATTTACTTAACCGATCTCTCTATATCTCTTTCAATTACTTTCCTCATCTATGGTGGCAGGAAAAAGTATATTACAGAGGAATAGGAAGAATGAACCTTGTGTCAATGTGTTTATCTGCACAGATGAGCTTTCTGGTTGAAATGTCTTAAAGAGGCTATGATTGGTCAGACAATAAAGATAAGAATATACAGTTATTAATATTTTCATTTATAATTACTTATCTTTAGAAATTTAATGCTTGCTTATAAAAAAGACAAAACATTCTTATTGTAGGTAATTTTTTTTTATTGACAGTTCTTGTTTCTTTATTTTTAGATGCACTGCTCCTGAATTATTGCCTATTGATCTTCGAGCCAAATTAATTGTGTGCATGATTCATTTAAAGCATCACAAAATAGTTGAGGTAAGTAATAAAGAGACAAAGTATTAACTCATTGCATGCCATATTGCATTGTGATTGATTCATTTTTATGTCTTATCAACCCTTTGCAGGTTATTTAAAGCCAGAAAATATTATTTTAGATTGTAAGATTATTTTTTTTATTTTTTTTTTAGATAATAATAATCTAGTGATACTATTCTTACCAATTAATCCATAACTTGAGGGAAAAGATGTGTATTCTTAACTTTCCTAAGGGTGTTTGTGTGTAAGTGAATATAACAAACCCAACTGGAATTGGAACTTGGTTCTGCGATAAACAATTCCAGGCCATTATTCATTACACTACCTGTACATCTAAGCCTACGGCACCTGGTCTTCTCAATTGGTCATTCATGTAGGTACTGACTAAGCTTAATGTTGCATAACTTTGGCAATCATACAGGAACCTTTTTTATTCTCCCATTATTTAAAAAAAAAAAAAAAATTATCATCATAGGTTTTAGCCATTTCTATTTTTCGGCTGTTAAAGTAAATTGTTTTCTTTGTGAATTCTTGCATTTTAATTTCATGATTGAAAAATGATTTTGCTAAAAAAATGTAAAAAGAAATTAACAAAAATAAATAAAAATGAAAAAAGGATTAATTAAATTTCTTATTAAATGAATTATTCATATTATTATCCTTACTTTTGTTCTGATTACTATATTTTGGTTAGTGGGCTTCTTGGCCTTCCTCAGGTGTATGTTAAAGCATTTGCTTAAATTTAAAAATTAAAGATTATTCATCAATAGATTGAGAAAAGTTGGCAAGCTCAAGTGGTAAAAAGAAGTGGATGAAAAGACAAAGGTTGAAATACTACTTTGAATAATTGATTAAATAATAACAGGATTTAATTTTAAAACTTGAGGCAATGCTTCACAAATTGGTACAGACTTGAGGCAATGCTTCACAAATTGGTACAGACTTGAGGCAATGCTTCACAAATTGGTACAGACTTGAGGCAATGCTTCACAAATTGGTACAGACTTGAGGCAATGCTTCACAAATTGGTACAGACTTGAGGCAATGCTTCACAAATTGGTACAGACTTGAGGCAATGCTTCACAAATTGGTACAGACTTGAGGCAATGCTTCACAAATTGGTACAGACTTGAGGCAATGCATTTCCCAATACATGAGAAAAGAAGGTGTCAAAAATTTGATATTCACAGGAAATCTTGAAGGCAAGAGGGTGTGAGGAAAATGGCACATAATCTACCTAACAAGCTTGTGTAAATGGATAGCAGAACAGAGGGTTTAAGAGAGATAGCAAAAACTTAAAATTTACTAAGAGCTACAAAGGACAGAAAATTGTAGAGAGCCATGATCGCTAACATCCAGAAGGGACATGGCACATAGAAGAAGATAGTTTCCACTTTAGTTTTCTTAATACTTTGAATTTTAATTTTTACACAAGGGAGAATAATCTTCATTTCCTCCGAATACTGAGCTCTTAATGTTATTTCAAAATAATTCCTTTAGATGTGATTGTATTTTGATTCAATAGCAGTTATGTGTTCAATCGCTGGGGTTAGTAATATTGAAAAGTCACATGGTCTGGTTCAATGAAAGAAGTGAATAATCAACTTATTTCTTATATAAAGAAATAACGGTTATATTTAACCTTTTGTATTTGCAAAAAATAACCAGTGTGTTAAAAAGAACGATCATTCCATTGACATTGCTGCTATTACAGTATACACTTTTGATTCCATTGTGAATATTTATTTATAAGATTATAAATAATTATATATATGTCAACCAAGTACAATGCAATGTTTATTATTTACCTTTTATGTTTTTGTTTTTGATTGTAGCCTCTGATGCAGCCTTTGTTTGAAGAAAATATAGAACAAGTTGGTGATCTCTATTTGGATGTTGCCGAGGCTTATATGGAAAATGCTCTTTATTCAGAAGCAAAATCTCTTTTCTCGGTGTTGGTCTGTTCCAGCACCTACAATGAGGTAAGACTTTTTTTTTTTTTTTAATTAAATAGAATATTTAATCACAGAAACTAATGCAAATTAAAATACTACGACTATTAACTACTTCTATTTGAATAGGAACAGTGACAATGTGTATAGGTTTCAGGATAAGGAACACTGGTTTTCAACTGATTTTGGAGCCAAGATATTAGGTTGAGTCATAAATAATTTTTGTTTATCAATTTTTTTCTTTAATGTATAATTACATTTTATTCAATTATATTGGGTTGAGTCGTAAATAATTTCTGTTATTTTATGTTTATTCTTCAATAAAAGAGAAAATAAAGTACAATTATATTTTATAGTGTTATATACTCACCATAGGAGGCACAGTGGAGTAATGGATAGTGGCTTGGATTGAGGAATCAGAGAGCCGAGTTCAAATTCCAGTTGAATCCATTACATTCACTTACGTGCTAATACCCTTGGGAAAGCTATGAATCCTCTTCTCTCCCCGGATATGGGTAGATAGCAGGGCAGACTGGGTTCTATAGCCTTGGATGGCAACTGGTCTACTGCAGAAAGAAATGGCTACCTACTGTGGAGGAAAAAAAAATCTGCCTTGTCAGTCATGTATCGAAAGATACATGATTGCCTAAGCGTGTATCATGCATGGCATATAACTGATATTCTCCATAATTTGGAGTGACGTGTTGCCACTAAGACAGCTCTTCAATACCTGTTGAGTAAAATTCTGCAGCTTTTGAGGAGAAAAATTTTTCCACAAACTTTTGAATCTGGTTTTCGTTAGAGAAAATTTTCCCATCAATGTGTTTTGCAATGATCGAAAAAGATATTAATCAGTTAGTGTAAGAGCAGGTGAATACGGCAGGGTAGAATAGTGAGTTCAAAAAGTTTTTTCACATGCTCTTACTATATAAGGCCTCGAATTGTCATGAAGGAGAACAACATTTTTCTTATTGATGAGTGTAGAGTGCTTTTCAACTAAATATTTATGGACACGTTGCAGCTGCTGGATGTATAAATGTGCATTTAGTATTTTATTGTACTTGAAGAACTCTGAATGAATAATACTTTGATGATCTCACCATGTGCACAATATTACCTTTCTTCTATAGAGCTCAGCTTCTGTGGTGAGTTGTGGAAATTTATCCCTGTCAATCATGTCTTTTATACTGAACATTGTTGTACGTTAGTGTACTCCAAACTTATTCTTTCCTGTCATGTATGATTACTAGTTAGTATGATATCTTTGTCATTACAATTGGTTCTGTCCAACCAGAAATTACTCATCATTCAACCTTATAGTAAACGTGTTACTACTTGACAATAGCAATGGTGTTGCTACATGACAATAATCTCTTGTCAGGTGAATTGCAAGTCTGTTTCTTGTCTGCAGTATATTTCTGCTTTACCCTTTGAACCCCCCCCCCCAAAAAAAAATGACTAAAAATGTTGCATTAAAAAAGCAACAGAAAGATAAAGTTATCAGCTAACAAAAAAAAAAAAAAAATTTTTAATAATTTGAGTTTATTTAAATATTTCTTTTTTCCAGTTTTGTTAACAGGACTTTAGAGTCAATCTAGTGGTCATTGATATTTACTAAGTGAGGTTTAAAGAGAAATAGGAAGATTGTGTTGCACCAATCTTCCAAGTGGGGCATTCATGTCTGGGTGGAGTTTTACAATGTGTACTGTGACCAGAAATAATCACTTTATTCCAAATTTTTTTTGTACTACTATAAAATATATACTCTAAATCACAAATACTTAAAAAAGAAATTTTTTTTAATTAGATTTTATCAAAGTTAATCGGGGATCCAGTTTTCTATGTAAATTCATTGTAAATTGATCCTCCTATATAAGCCAAAACAAATCCCCTTATACAATGTGTTTTCTTAAAATGTAAAAGAATAAATTTTTTTTTTTTTTGAATTTCTTAATCTGGATTGTGTAATTGACACTAATATGTGAAAAAAAAAAAAGAACTCATGATTATGAATTTAAAAGATTTTATTTCATTTAAAAAAAAAGGTGTTGTATAAACATATTTTGTATTGGCTAGTGTAAGCGGATCAGTTTACAATTAATTTCTGTAACCATCTAGACCAGCCTATATACTTTTATAGACTTTAACAAAATGTTTTTTTGTTTTTTTTTCATAAATATATAATATAATTATATATTATAATATGAAAAACAAATTTGAAAAAAGTGATTATTTCAATTTTCAGTGCCTATTGTACAGCTTGTCTGATTTAAATATCTGTATTAGAAATCCTTGGGCTTGACTATTGATATCATTAGTAAAATATGCAACTCCCCCAACTGCCAAGCAGGCATTTTATATTGGAATTTTTGAAATGTGGAATTGCCTTTATTATGTTCCTTGCTATTTGGACCAGTATACGTATCTTAGTTGTTATACTCAAACTGTTCTAGTCACTGAGGATTTTTTCCTCCCTGAAACATGTCTGGTTCAATAGGAGTTATGAGTTCAATCCCTGGGGCTGGTAGTGTTGAAAAAGTCACATATCCTGGTTCAGTGAAAAAAGATGGCTAATCAATACATATAAAGAAGAGGGACGGTTATTCCTTTGACACTGCTATTACTGTATACACTTTTGACTCCCTCAGCAATGTTTATTTATAACATAAAAATATGTGAAACTAGTACAGTGTAATATTTATTATTTACCTTTTATAAAGAAATAAATTTGAAAAAAAATCTTTTTATTTAAAAATTTATAAAAAAATTACAAAATTATCAAAATATGTAAACTAACCACAGTGCAATGTTTATTTACCATTTTATAAATGAGTATGAAAACAACTTTTTTAAGGTATGACCTGGTAAAAATTAGACCTTCCGTAAGTATACACAAGGAAAACTTTGTCCAACCAATGATTAGGGTGGATACACGCTCAAAATATTGTGTTTGGGATCACATCTTAAATTAAAAGAATATTTAATTTAGAGGAGGAGATGCTCTTAATCTATTTTAGTCAATTTATGTGGCGAGAGCAAATGAAAACAATGCCTGGAAAATTCATTTTTCAAAATTACAGTTACTCATTGTTATGTGTTTATTTAAAATTTCTTATTCAGACATTTTTATAAATTTATGAATAAAAAAGAATTTGTTTTCACATTTATTTCTTTATAAAATAGTAAATAAACTTTTCATTATAGTTAGTTTGCATATTTTTATAATCTTGTAAATATAAAATTATTTTTGTAAATAAACAATCTAATAAATAAATACTGTTTAATATATTTGTTGTTAATTCTCTAAAATAAAGAAAATGAATACATCCACTTTTGTATAGTTGGTTTTTATTAAAATTCTAATCATTGCTTTTTAAGACAATAAACATTACTGAGGGAGTCAAAAATCTATTCAATAATAGCTGTGTCAAATGAATAATCGTCTTTTTGACACACTGTTTTTTGTGGACACAAAGGTTAACCATTGCTGAGAAAAAGTAGCATATATGCAGAAGTATTAATTTGTATGCTCATAATTACATCTACAGCCAAACATTGTGGAACTTTATAGTGCCACATTATACCATGAATTTCTCTTTTAATCTTATTGGTAATGTAATTATATGTATGTAGATCAGTAAGTCTGCAACCTAATGATGAAAAAGCATTTTGCCCAATAAATATTTTTCAGCATAGTCTCCTTCTGAGTTTAATTTCCAGTTGAGTTCATTATATTCACCTACGTACAATACCCTTGGAAAAGGTATGAATCCTCCCTCCAGCTATGGGTTAAATAGCAGGACAGACCGGCTTCTTTAGCTTTTGTTGGCAACCAGTCTACTGCAGAAAGAAATGGCAACCTACTGAAGGGAAAAATGTTTTGCTACATCGGTCATGTATCAAAAGATACATGATCGCCTAATCGTGTATCACATGTGGCACTTAACTGATTAACTGACTCCTTCCTTACCAGTGCACTCAATTCAAGAACATTGATCACATATCTTGAACATTATGTGATGAACATTTCAGATCAAAACTCAGTTAACATATCTGGCCATGGACTTATTGACCCATCCTCATACAATCATAAATATTATACAATCTGCTAGTTTGTTTCAATTCTTTTTCCACTTATTTTTTGTTTTTTGTCAAGAAAGACAAAATTTTTTTAATGGCTGTATACTTTCTTTTTTCCTGTTCATTAAAACATAAAAAGGCGGCTGTCTGGTTAAAGTATGGAGAATGTTTGAATTGTCTTGGAGAATTGGAGAATGCTGTGAATTCCTACAAAAGAGTGGTGGACCTTGCACCAACTCATTATGGTGCTCGTATTTCACTCTCGGCCCTGCAACAACAACTTGGGAACTCTTCTGATGCAGTCAAGGCCCTCACAATTCCTGGTAATACCATTTATCTTGAATATATGAATGATAAGCTTTATCATTGTAACTATCAACTAGGCTTGTACAAAATATGACCAACAGGTTGCATGTTGCTCATAAGACTACTCAGGGTGGCCCACAAACGGTTTTTGAAAATAAATCTTTTGTGATCAACAGAATAATTTCAGAAACATTACTCACTTTTGTTTATTACTCACTTTTGTTATTAGACATTAGACATTGAATTGTATCATGTTGTGTCCATAGCTTGCTTGACTTTTCAGCTAACCTGATGAATATTTATGAGTATTCCCAAACTTACAAATTTTGAAAAATCAATAACATTTTTGCTTTTGTATAAAAAATACTTGTTACAAAATAAAATCCTTGCATTTGCCTTGATAAAGTCCCTCAGAGGATGAAACATGTTGGCTAAGATAAGTTTTTATTTTGTCTTTATTCAATATAATTTAAATATAAACTGTCCTGATAAACTTTCCTCTTTTGTCCCTTAACTTTATGAATTTAAAGGCAGTACTAGATTGGCGGCAAGGTCTCATAATTTATAGTTGAAATGATTAGATGTTACTGTAAGTTCTAAACTAACAGTTTTTTCTGTCACACTTTTTGCTTGTAGAACACCAATTCTATCTTCTTTGATTTTTCAAAAATTTAAATGCAATGTCAATCATTAACTTCTGTCTTCTTGAAATGATTAAAAAAAAATAACCTTATTTGAACACAAGTGTAGTTTGATGTTTCTAATTTTCCTTGTAAAAATTATTAAAAGAAAGAAAAAAATAATTTTTATTTATTTTTTTCAGATTTGTTAATTATTTAGTGGAACATAATTACATTATTTTTGTTTCATTTAAATATTTCCAAGTTAAAATCAGTAGGATAAGTGAACTTCAAATGTTGTAAAACTCCAAATTTAAAAGAATAATTTTTTATTTTTTAGCTCCTTCTGAACCCGGGCAAATAAGACAGGTAAGTTGACACCCAACTTTAAATTTGAGACTCGGGGGAAACAATGGCTGTAATATTTTGCACCAGTTTCACATTTTAATAACTAAGATGTATAAGTAATGGAGCCATTTAGTAACAAGTACAAATGGTAAAGTTTTATTCTTAATCATTTTTAAAAATTCAAAATGGCCACTGTCTTTGCAGTTGTATCTTTCAAACTGAGTTAAATACAACTTGTTCCAAGAAATAGGACTCAAGATAACCTTACCCAAACAGAAACTATGGTCTGGAATTGAAATGAAAGCAGTGATGTCATGTACCCTGAATCTATCACAAAAATTCAGGGTGTGGAATTCGTAAATGCTTTAAATACATTGGTGTATGGATCAATTATAACAAATCTAGTATAGAAAATAATGAAATTGAATAAAGAATAGGCTGTAAACTTGAGTCATGTTCTTAAATAGCCTTGTTAAATCCAGACTTTCATATAGATGTCATGCATTGTGTCAGACTCATTCAGAAATGTCTAAACTTTCAGCTGTATAAAATCATTTTCTCAGATCAATGGTTAAAAATGTTTTTGAAGCCTATAAATCTTGGTGAGGACCACATTTCATCGAATCTTGTGAACTGGCACTAGAGAATCACAAACAAAGGACTGAAACAAATAATAGAAATCGCATCATTTGAGGACTTTCAACAGCTGAAATGGATAATGCTTGTAACTCAAAGTGAATACAATGACATAATCAAGGTGTTGACATTCCACCTTACATACTTCAAACAAAAAATGCCCATCAGTAGTGGAAAGAGTGATAACAGCTATTGGACTTGAGAAAGCTATTTTCCTGAAAAATTGTTTTAAGTAAAAGATTTTATAAATTTCAAATGATAGCTTTTTATAAATTTCTTCCGGCTGCTCAGTCAATGAATGCTGAATGTTTCCTTATAAGGAAATGGCTAATATTACCATTATCTTTACAACTAAGTAGATTTCTTGATACACTGACATTGCTTGCACTGTTTTTATTAAGATTTCAAGTGTATTGAAAGAATCAGGTTTTGATATGTGAATGAGTATCTTAATGTGATTCTTACTTTTAAAATATCTAATAGTTAGATCAGGTTTCTTGGTGGTCAAGCAATTGATTTGCCACTGCCTGTTAATTAGTTTTTGATTAATGTTATTTAAAGAAAAAAGGCAAGGAAATGTCTGATTCACATAGAATAAGCTGCAAGAATAAAACTTTTATATATCTGTAAAGAAAGGGGTAAGATCTATACCCATACAAGGGGCCACCTTCTGGGTGGGTACTTGCAGATTCAGGTAGAAATTTGACGAATGTTACCTTTTTGACTAATGCAAACTGTATCTGTGTCTACTTTTTTGACTGTGTGCCCTACAGAAGGACAAGATCCTCCTCATCCTAAGAGGTGACTCTTTTCAGGTGGTTACTTGCAGACTTTGGTATAAACTGAACCAGTGTTTACCTTTTTGACTCTTGGGCAAACTAGACATGTCTACTTTTTTTTACTCTTGGTGTTCTGCCATTTTGCCTAAGGTGCAAACCAGACATTTAATTCATTGTGATTTTTGTCCTAAAAGGTTTATATTCTGTGTTAACTAACACTACAAGGTTTGATATGTCATTAAGTTAACTAATGTATTGCTGTACTTATGATTTGCTGCTTTTTAGTCTATGTAATTTATTGCTTTTCTGAATTTCAACATGGTTCCTTTCTTTTCTTTTTTTTTTTTTCTTTTCTTATTTTTGCCTAGGATCATATCTTGCTTGTCCACAAATGCCATCTGCTGTACTCTCTTGACCGCTTCGATGAATTCTATGAATGCTGTCAACAACTTCTCTTTGGGCATGTCAAAGAAGAATGGAAACCTGTTTTCAGAAAAGGTTAGCAATTTGTTTCCAAATATGCCTTCATGTGTGAGTCCTATGTAAATTTGAATTATATATATATATATATATATATATATATATGAAAAAATATAGTCTTAAGATGTGCTATATTTATGGGATAAAGTGCTCAATATCAGAAATAGAGCATGTGTAAATATAAAAGTGAACATAGAAGTCAACACTTAGAGGCGACAGTCTGTTTCATGCTAGATGCAATCGTCAGGCCTGACAATTGCATCTAGCATGAAACAGACTGTCACCTCTGTGTTGACTTCTATGTTCACATATATATATATATATATATATATATATATATATATATATATACACACACAATATTCCTGGCATTCCATCTTGTGAGGATGTAAAAAAATTTGTAAAGTTCTAGTTGATTCATCCTGAAAATATGACCCCCATATATATATATATATATATAAATTTTTGCCACTTAGCTGATTGATGTTACCTTTAGCATCCTGACTCCATAGTTTCTTAGATGGACCTGTCAAATCCATTCATTAGTGGGTACCAGCAGTTGACCGTTATAATTTTCGATTTTTCTTTTTTATATGCACTTATTATTGGTTTTATTTTTTTTATAGTGTATGTGTGTGTGCACCTGTCTGCATGGACATGCGTACTTTTAGGGTGTTGTGATTATTTGTCTTTTTTCTCTCTTTTTTTTTCTTTTCTTTCAATTGTTGCCATTTGGATTCTGTTTTTTTTCTAGACAGACTCCCATTTTTAATTTTTAAGCATTCTAATCTTTTCTTGAGTTAAGAAAATTTTATTTCATTTTTTACATAAATAATTAATTTTAATGCTTAAATGCTAAAGTTATATATATCTCCACTTGTTTAAATCAATTCTGGAACAAAGCTTAATCCGAAATTGACCAGTTCTAGCAGATTTGAAAAAATGCTCAATACTTAATCCATATAGCAATGTTAACTTTATCTCAAAAAGATACAATTACCTCATTATACTACCACAGTTTCACAAGCCCTAAGATCTGAGGTGGAACTGTAGTATTGCAGTGAGGTAATTATATCTTTTTAAAATAAACTTGTATATATCTATTTGTTGACAATATTTTTTTTTCAACGGTTATCAATTCAAAGTTGCATTATGATGAAATAGCTTTTAGTTTTTTTTATTAACTTTTACTGACACTTTAGTAAAATTATAGTTTACACTGATGGTAAATTGTAACCTTCTTTAAGTACATAATTTATAGCATTCTTGACCATTTGTACAATTTCTTTTTAAAATGATAATAATTTCAGTTTTTAATAGGAAGAGAATGGACTGGATCAAAGCTGTTGATTAGGATTAAGGTACTACATTTGATAGGCTATTTGATCCTGCATTAATCATGGGGAAGGGCTTGAAAATGCATTAATTAAAATCATTCAAAATGAACATGAGGATAGCTGTCTGGAAAATGAATGTAATTTGGTTTTAGAAAATTCAGACCCTGCATTTTTCTTCTTTCGTAGTAATTTTTGAATTCATGAGTCGGAGAAGTCGAGCTGAGAGCCTTGAGTATTTTTATCAGCACATTGGCGGGAAAGGTAAGTATTTATTCTTTTATTCAAACAATTTTAAAGATTTTTGGTTTTTTTTTTTGTTTATTCAGATAATGGCTTGAAGCAATTACTTTATAAAAGAAAATGTTTAAAGTGATTATTTAAGAAATATACCATTCCAAGTTAATGAAAATCCAAGCACCTTTTTATTTGTACAAAATGTTTGAAATGCCTTCAGTTGAAGGCAGCAAAGTTACCTGGTTCTAAAGACAAGAATGCAATTGATAGAGAATTTTGTGTTGGTTATTTTGGGGCTGATTGGTAGGAATTTCTTGTACATAGCAGAATCGTTTTTTTTTCCTGTACAAGGCCCAAGAACCACTTGAAGTAGAGGGTTACAGTGTAAGAGGCACAGTTTATGCTGATATGTGGGGACGATAACGGTTAACCCTAGACTTGTAGTGATTGGGGATGCATCCTTTTGGGAAAATCTCTCTCTGTTGACTTCTTGTGTTGGGTTTGCTTTCACTCTTTCTGGGCTGGCATTTTCAGAGCATCAAACAGTCACTACTTAGCATTTTTAATTTAGCTCTTTTGGCCTACAGTGCTGTCTAAGAAGTGCACCTGTGGTGATAAGACTCTCACTTTCATTTTTATTTCCTTACAAAGGTGAGGATGATTTTGTCTCAATTTTATTTCGAAATGTGTGTTTGTGGCTTAAGGCGCAGAATGAGAACACTGAGAGAAGACTTGATTACATTCACTTATGCGCAAATACCCTTGGGAAAGGTATGAATCCACCTCTTCTCCCCTAGCTATGGGTTAATTAGTAACACTTGTATCACTAAATCATTATTATGTCAAAAAAAATTCTTACACTCTAAAAATATTTTCTGGCTTTAAATAACCTGCAAGGAGTTGATAAGCCATAGAAAATGAATTGGTCAATCAATCTCTGCAATTGGTTAAATAGTTAAGCAGACTACATTCTTTGATTTTGGTTGGCAACCAAGTGAGGAGAAGGACAATTTTGAATTCAAAATGTTCTGACGAAGCACATACTATATGCAGCTAATGAAAGGATCATGGAGAGTTCACAATGATTCTGTGATTCCAACTATATTTAATTTAGGTGTGTGGGTGGTGTAATGGATAACAGTTTGGAATGAGAAATTGCAGAGCTGAGTTCAAATTACAGCTGAGTTCACTGCATTCCCTTATGTGCAAATAACCTTGAAAAAGGTATGAATCCATCTTATGTCCTCACCCCCAAATGATAGACTTGGTTGGCAGCCAGTCTAGGAGGGCAACTCTGAATTCCAAAACCGTATGTAGTCCCAGTGAAACACATATTATATGCAGCTAATGAAAGGATTGTGGAATTTAAAATGGCTATAATTTTGACTGCAGTCAGAATTATTTCTTTACTGACTTTGATTTCTCATAAGTAGCAAAAAAAAAAGTGGCCACTTTTGTATCACTTTTTTTTATTTTATCTCATATTTGTAAAAGAAAAAAAAGAAAAAAAAGAAGAGCATATTGAACAAAACAGTTTCTGTTATATAAATATATATCATAAATTACAATGTGGAAAAATCTGTGCAATGCATTTCATCCTTTAAAAGGACTTTATCAGAATAAAGTAATGTCCTTATTGATGGAATTATATATATTCACAGACAGACTGTTTTACTGTAACACAGCTCATCAGTGTGGCTAGACATCCAATTCCTTTAAGCTGGGATCGAAACTCGACCAATTTGATAACAGTCAGAGACTCTTAACTCGAGGCTATTGGCAGAGAAAGGAAATTTTTAATGCATTATATACATGATGTATAAACGGCATACCAGCCGCCATAGTGCTCAATCAGCAAACGAGAGACTATATGTGTGTGTGTGTGTGGGGGGGGATATTAATGGAAACAGTGGTTAAAATTCTGCACTGAGGGGAACAGTAAATTTCAAATTTTTTAATTTTTAGTCTTTGATGTGCAACTAACCCGATCTCATTCGGTTTCCCAACACTTTTTTTTAGCTTTAACTGCTGTTATTTTTAAACATTCCACATTGTGACAGAAAGATTTGTTTAAAAAAGGTGAGATATTGTAAGAATCTGGACATAAATTTACTGTGAAAGATTAAGAAATCACTGCACTTTCTATACATTTTCACCTTAGTAAATTACTCCCTCCCTTAATTAAAGTAACATTTTTTTAATCAAAATTGTAGCCAGGTACATTATGATGAGCAACTAATACATTTGATGTGTTGTTTTGTAAAAAATCTCTTGCTTTCATATATTGTGTTTTAAATAAATGTGTGCTTATGTGTGTGCTGAAAAGACATAATTTCTATGCATATGCAACATTTAACACATTGAAATTAATTTCTATGCATATGCAACATTTAACACATTGAAATGTTTATTTTATAGACTATTTTATGGAAACTTCAATCTCCACCGATGATATCTGGGATATCTTTTTAATGGTAGGTTATTATTTTTTTCCCATTATTAAAACTAGAAATTATGATTTTGTAAGAATGCAACATTTTATATTTTCTTTTTTAATTATTAACAGTTTAATAGTTTTAACTAAAAATATTTAAAACAAATAGTCAAACAAAACTTTTAACCATATTTTTTAACTACTTTTTTTGAGAAATACATACACTAACATTGCGAGATATTAATTATCTTAAATGAATAATAAACAGATATATACTTTAATAATTTATGCAAATTTTTTCTTTAATTAAAAATCTACATAACCATTTGTTCTTTTTTATTTTAAAAGAAATTTTTTCATGCAAAAATATCTATTCTTGTTCGTAAAACAGTTAAGTACAGACAACACGAAAATGTCACACTGATTTACACTGATTGATTTTATGAACAGGACCCTTCTTTTAAAAATGATAAAAATCAATATATTTTGATTCTGATAAATGTTGCCCCTTGAGGAAAGTCTTATGAATGCTAATTTACAAAATTTATTTACAAAAAGATTTTTCCTATTTTTTTATGAGTGGATCAATCTACTTAAGTAATACCAATGAGTTAATGAATATTTTTACTTTTAATGGTTATAATTTATTTGTGTAGCTGTGTCGAGGCCTGTGGGAGAGAAAAATGTATAATCAATTACTTGATGCCTGCATTCATGGCTTGACGAATCCACAAATCCTCACTGATGAAGAAAAGTACAAGGTAATTAACATAAACAGATTATTTATATTATAACTGTTTCTACTCTTTGAAAATCATAGATTTTACAAGCATAGAACTTGGGAGGGGGTGGGTAACTGTTCCAAAGACTGCCTGTTTGGATCACATTGGGGTCACCAGTTTGTAATGGATGTGATTAATGCTTGTGACAAGAAGGGGTTGAAAACTTTCAAAATAGATTAATTCAAAACATTAATGTAGGTTTTACACACATACACACTATATATAAAAAGATTACTTAACTTTTAAATATCAATTTTTTTTGTTTTGAAACTGGTGTCTGGTCTGAGCATTTCAGTTCAGACCAGACACTAGTTTCATTCTACGGCTGAAGCTTCTTCCAGTCAAACACTTATGACTTAAAAAAATAAATCTTTGGCCAGATCATTGCCCACAAAATAAGACTCTGTGAAAAATTTGTAGCAGTAGGCAAATTTGATTCTGGTTGTAACCTTCTGCTGTAGATGATCGAGGCAGAGGTGAGACATGTTGAGGGGGATAACAGCCTAACAGGCATGTCTTCCTTTTTGCATCGTGATCAGTGATCTCTTGTCTCTCCCTCTCTGTGTCTTTTGCTGTTAGGAACCACTATTTCATAGAGAACAGTATTCTTTGTCCTAACGGCTCTATCTAAAAAAGTAATTCATCAAGAACTCAGGGTCCGGCTTCACTCAGCAACCTTTGTCAGGATCATTTGACCTTGTTCTTGGGTGGTCCACTCCATTAAGCTGACATTTGCTAAGACAATAACTGTTGAAACAATTTCTGTAACACTTTTCAGATGTTTTCCTTTAACAAGACACTGACAAGGCTGACACTGATATCACTACAAACTTTTCAGAAAAATTTCATGATAAAATAATCATAATTTTAGATACATGTCCTTAGGACTTAAAATTTCACATTTTTTTATATTAATCTTAATGTTGGTTATGTGTGATTTTTTTTTTTTTTTTTTTTGTATGGATAAATATAAAAAAAAAAAATACTGATTCCAGTTTTAATTGCATTATTTCTAAATTAAATGGATGTTTTTTTTTATTTGTTGCTTTTTTTTTTTAATTCCCTTTTTAGGAAGCTGAGTTTTTGTGCTTGATTGCTTGTATCCAAAGCAGGAATGGAAAACTGGCCTACAATCTGATACGTGAAATATGTGTCAAGGTAAACACATCGTCTTCTTTATATGATTGTAAAGTAACTTTATCCCTGTAGTTCAGAAATTGGACGAAACAGTTAATTTCTACTTCCTTCTCATATTAAACACATTTTTTTATTTTAAAAAAAAAAAATTCTGATTCTAAGTTTTAAAATTAATTCCTGTTGAGAATTTTTATGTTCCTTTTGATGTGTTGATTATTTCCTTTTCCAGGACATCGACAACAACCAGGCTTGGAATTTGTTTAATCAGGTCATCATCTGCTCCTCCGATGGACGTCATAACAGATTTTGTCTCCGATTGATGATGAAGGTCTGTCGATTGATTTTTTTTTTTTTTTTTTTTTTTTTTTTTTTTTTTTTTCGATTTCTATTTCTCCTCCTTTTCAAATGAGTTGAAATCTGGTTGTCATCAAAAGAATTAATAAAAAATTTTGACCCCTGTTGATCTTTGTACATGAGAGATTACTTTAAATATTATGCTCAGCTTACAGACACTGAAATTAAGCAAGGTTGAATCTGGGAATCTGTTTGGGAATAACAGGTACTGTAAACTTGGATGTGTGGCTTTTGTAATGGCTTACAACTATATTACGTTGAAGCACTGGTTCTTGTATGATCACCAAAGTTAAGCAACGTTGAACCTGGTTAGTACTTAGATGGGTGACTGGTTGGGAATACCAGGTGCTGTAAGCTTGAATATACAAGTGGTATAATGGGATTCAAATACAGCTTCTTGTAAGATCAACTGAAGTTAAACAACATTGAGCCTGGTCACTATCTAGATGGGTGACTACTTGGGAATACCAGGTGCTGTATTATTATTCATCTTCTAGATTGGCAGCAGGATCTCACCATTTTACAGTTGAAATGACTAGATGTAACCATAAGTTCTATGCTAACAGTTTTTTTCTCTCACACATTGTATGACGCATAAGACTTAACTCCCTGAAATCCCTTTCTACAGCCAATATTCCTGTGCTAGTTTTAACCAATCAAAAACAAACTTCCTTTTTTTCCCTGTATCTGACCTCAAAGATCAAAATGAAGAAGTCAGAGGAGAAATACAATTCTCTAAAAAATAATAGTCTGCTAGACTATTGTGACGGGGCACTTGGTCCAGGGTCGAAACCTTTGGTTACGGCGCCAACTGTGACGTCGCTCCTCCCGGTCGCTTCTTCGCTGTTCCAAGCGTGCTGCCCAACCCCTTGGTTAGATGATTACCAGCCTCGCTTTTTCAACCCGCTTCCAACACCTGGTTACTAGGGTAACTGTACTGATCTCCGGTCTGTCTACCCACGCCAGGATTAGATCTTAGACAGACGGGATCAAACAGGGATTGGAGCCGATGCAAGTTGAGTCTGACGGGGTGGCAAAACACAAGTAAAAGAAAAACTCACGAGACAAAAAATTACTGATAAAAAAGGGTAACAACCTTTAATATCTAATGTTCGTTACATAAAAATTATTCTTACTTCCTAACCCGCTTTTAGGACTGTGGCACCAAGCTCCTATCATACAACTTAAAGACTTCGAATTGTCTACTCTTCAGAATTGTGTATGTCGGAGTGTGGTCTAGTTCGACACTGGGGCTAATCTTTACCAGTCGCTCACAGCTGATTCTTCTCTTCGCTTGAGTTGGACATATTTCTTCACTTCGATTTGATTTGGTCGAATTTCTGTTCTTGGGCTTGGTTTGATTTCAACTTCTTCTTCTTCCGCCCTGCAACTCTTTTCTGTCGACTGAGGTTGAACTGATTTGCTTGTTTGGCCTGCAACTTTACTGCCTGTCTGAGGTGATCTGAGCTCTCTGTCGCCTGAGGTGATCTGAGCTCTCTGTCGCCTGAGGTGATCTGAGCTCTCTGTCGCCTGAGGTGATCCCTTCTCGCTGTCGCCGGGAGGTGATCTGAACTCTCTGTCGCCTGAGGTGGACCCTTCGCTGCCGTCCCGGGAACTCAACTTTACTCTCTGTTTAGGTGGACCCTCTCCGGGGAACTCAACTTACTCTCTCTGTTTAGCCTGCAGCTCTTCTTCTTGTCTGGCCTGCAATTCTTGGCCTGTCTGGCCTGCAGCTCTTCTTCTTATCTTCGACTTGGCTGCAACTTCTCTGCAACTTTCGAAAGCAATCTTCTTCTTCTTCGACTTGGGCTGGAAGGATTTCTTGTCTTAGGATTCTCTTGCCCAAAGGGGCTTAATGAACCGGGCCGATGCCCGCGTTCAAGCTCCCTCGCTGCCCGCCGGGTCCAGCTGCAACTGATTTCTGTCGACTGGGGTCCTGCTTTTATTGACGCCGCGAACAAACTGGGGTGGGTCTGTCGGCCAGGGTTTTCTCGATAATTCCAAAAGTCGACTTCTGATTTCCCATTATCGCTCTTATTTTCACCCCTACTTCCTCACAGTGCCTCTGGTGGGGAGGCGATACCCATCTCTCCCGGTCTCTCGTATGTCAGGTGACCGTTGACCAATGGTTCTTGATCGAAGGCCCTTTCTCCTCTTTTCGCATATCACGCGGACCTTTCGGCCAATGAGATTCTGGTTGGGCGTCTCCCGCATTGCGGACGTCTCCAATCGGGCGTGGCTTATCCTGGCCTTGTCCTGGGAAAAAGACACCTTGCTAAAAAAACAAAATCTAATTTGGCCTTTTCGCACGCACATAAAAAAAATGACAATCTCAGCCTTTTCACCTTCCTGGTCTTTGTCAAAACAGCCTGCCGCTAATTAGATGTGACTTCAGGAAGGATTTTCGCTATCTGTGAGCCAAGAACAATCGTTTTTCACCTCTTTGTTTTGTGCCCAGACCTGATAGTCAAAAATCTTAATTATCTGAATCGTAAATGTCTTCACTTCATCATCGTGGGGGTTCCAATTTTTAACAGGTCAGAATCTGTATACAATTCCAGCGGTCACCTTCTCATCCCAAAAGACACTCTTCTCCTTTTTATCTTTCGTTTTCCATTGTTCTAAAAAATCCCATTTCTCCAAATTGATAATGAGTCTTTTACACAAAAGTAGGCCAGATGCTTTGACCGACATTTTATCAATCGTATATATGTTCATACACTTTTACCAAGTCTGTTTTTTTCTTTTCTTTTAATTACCTTCAATTCTATTCTCCCAAAAAAACAATTTCCATTGTTCACTTGAAATTTGGTCAGGCGCGCCGACCTCGATACCTCTTGACACCTGTTTTCGCTAATGACCGGCCTTTTGCATTTTTCTTTCTCTTTCTCTTTCTATTTTTCTTTTTCCCTTCCTTTTTTTTTTTTCTCTTAGGATCGCCTAAGTACAAGTAGAGAATTATTCTCGTCTAAAAAACTAACAACTGGTTAATAAACCGAATAAAAAAATTAAATCATATTTCTATGAATATTTCTTTTTTTCTAATAATGCAGGGTGCCACACTATTATTTAATAGAAGCACCTGCTATGTTTTTTGTCCTGGTATGTTTGGATCAGTAATTGTGGCTAGCTAAGTTTAAGATAGACTGAAGACCAGCCTTCCCCTTCCTGCTCTTTTGGCCTTGTGCCCTATTTTTGTATCCTCAATATAAATATTACTTTCCTCTATGGTATCTAGACTTTATGAATTTAAGCGCAGTACTAGATTGGCGGCAAGGTCTCTTCATTTTACAGTTGAAATGGCAAGATGTAACCGTAAGTTCTATACTAACAGTTTCTTCTGTCGCACTTTTCTCTTGTGGAACTCTCTTCAGGCTTTTGGCTTTCCAGTCAACATTGATCTTCAAAAATGTAAATGCAATTTCAATTGTTATTTTTTATCCTCTTTAATTCCTGTTATTGTTCTCTCTCGTTAAGTGTTTTTTTTTTTTCTCATATTCCCTCACATTCCTTGTATTTTAGTGGTTTTATTCTTTATTGCCTTGCTTGGGGTGAAATGATTAAAAAAACCCTGTTAAATGATGTTTTTCATACTGAGTGTTCAACTATCATTAGTGACTTGAAATGGCTTCAGGATTATTGAAACTCCTTAAATGGTTATGAGTTTTCTTTAACTAGGGAACAGCCCTTCTTAGACATTCTATTTTTGTGACATTGCAGTATTAGCTGCAATAAAAATAATTTACTCTTTCTTGTCAGATTGGAGATGTGAGGGCTAATATAACCACTGATGTTGTTGAAGGTAACATTTACTTTTAAGTAAGAAATCTATGAAGGAAAAGATAATGATTTTAAATTCTAGAAATTGTATTCTAACTGAATTTAGGAATATGAATTAACTATCAATCGAATAATTTAGGTCATTATTCCTGATTTGTCCATTTAAGATAAGATTATCCCTTGATAAGAATGTGAGGAATTTAATTATGCTGTCATATTTTGACACTCATAAAAAGCCAGGAAATCAAAAAAACAGTCTGGTCACTCTAAAATGCTTAGTAAATGATTTGTAATGAATGTATTTACAATCATGAACATAAACATTCTATTATAATTGTGCTTACGCTGCCTTTGTTAGTTTGCATGACCATTACACCTGCCAATACATCATAAATAACAGACTATTCTGTTTTGATTGCGTGGAAAGAAGGGAAAAAAAGACACTACCTGGTTTCAGCAAGAAAATGAAAGAAGGGAAGAGTTAAGTGGAAGAGAGAGAGAGAATCAGATTAAACTGATAAGAACAGATACTACACTTTGATCTTAGCCAAAAGCTGTGAAGCAATTGTATTTTTTTGCCACCCCATGCTATCAGGATGTCACCATAATGTGGCGATCCCAAGCGAATGCACCAGGGCCAGGTCCCAAAATAGCCCAGTATTACTACTGATCTCCCCTCTTTAATGCAATGAGAGAAGTACTGCCACAAGCAGCTGTTTCCTGAGACCAGGCACTTCTCAATAATATTTTCAATTGTGTTCTGTCCACAAACAGAAACACAATTGAGTTGTGCTCTGTCCGAAGACACACAACTGAGAGATCAAATATAGTTTATCTGTTGTTGAACAGTTACTACACTTGTTTCTCAACCTTTTGGCTAGGATCAATGTTGACTGTGATAAATGCACCATTTTTCAAGCACATAGTATCCAAGTAAGGTGATCACCAAAAATCCAGTTACCATAAATAACATTGTCTGCTTAATCATTTTTAAATTATCATTTAGAGAGAAATGTTTGTAAGACTGGAATCTGGCTAGTGAAGTTAATTCTTGTATCAAAGCTGGGTGAAACTTGAAACCCACTCCTTGATCTGCAGTCTTTCTCTCATGACTAAATTTAATGAAATGTGTTAAAATGATTCCATCTCAGTTGATAAATATTTGCATAAAACATAGTTTATATAGTTTTCTTTTTTAATTTAGATTGACAACAATCTTGGTGATTGACCAAGTTAAATTCAGCTTTTGAGTTAAGCTTTGTGTCTATGGGATGAATTTTCACGTGTGTACAATGTTTTCTTTTTGCAGCACCCTGACAATCTGGCCCTAGCCTTGTTCAACGCACATAATTCTATGGTATCTGGGACATATAAACATTCTTTAGGTAAGTATTACTTGCATTAATATACATTACTTTCCAAGTTAATTTTAAGAAGAATGTAGCATTTTATCATTATGTTGACTTTATGAAAAGACAACTGGTTGATTGTATAATGTCTATTTTATTGTACACTAGGTACTGTAACCAGAAAATAATCATTTTTTTTGTCAAAATGTTTTTTTATATTACAATAGATTATATACTCCAGTTCATGTATAAAAGAATTTTTTTCTTTATTAAATTTCATAAAATTAAATTGGGGGTCCAGTTTGCTGTGTAAATTAACTGTAAATTGATCCTCTCTACAGAAGCCAAAGCAAATATTGTCATATGATGTATTTTCTTTAAACATAAAAAAAAAAAGATAACAATAACCAAGTTGATTAAAGTGTTGATAAATTTGGCAATAGTAATTGGGAGTTCAATCCCTGGCCAGGCAGTGTGTACTTGGACTCGGTGGAAACAGTGTGAGCAATATCTAAGTACTACTAAAAGTAAAAAATAGATGGGATATGCTTAGACATTTGCAGTGGAAAGAGAACAGTCTACTTCTGTAGATTAAATAATGGGTTCAGTTCGGGGCTTACTTGGATTAATATTCGCCAGCTGAGGTGGGAAACAATGTCTGAAACATTGTGATAACAACAACAATGATCAGGACAATAGTCTGCATGTAAATAGTGTAAATCATTTCTTTTAATTTATAATCTGTAGTGCATAATTGATAGCAATGTATGAAAAAAGAACTCTAGGAATTTCATCCCAATATATTTTGTTTTGCTATGTGTAGGGGATCAATTTACAATGAATTAACACAGCAAACAGGACCCCCTATTTATTTTTTATAGAACTTAAAAAATTACTTCATGATCAGGAGTGCTTAATCTATTGTGATATTAAAAAACATTTTGAAAAAAATGATTATTTCTTATCATATTGCCTATTGTACAATGCCACTAGATATTTTTTGTTTTCTTGTATCCGAAAAATATCTTGTCAGCTTCTTCAGAACAATTGTTTGAATCACTATCATATTCACTGCCAGAGTAAAAACGTTGTCCGGGGTCATTAGTTGCTCTCCTTTCCCTTAACATTTGTTGCAGACTTAACTAGATAT